GCCCCGCCGCGCCCCGCCACCGCCCGCCACCATGTACCTGCACCCGGAGGCTGCCAGCGCAGGTGAGCCCCGGGCCGCCGGGGAGGGGGGGGACGGAGACACGCAGGACGCGGGGACACGCACCGGGGGTGGCCGACCGCTCGCCGCCCCCCCGGGGATCCGCCGTGGCCGCTGCCCGCTTCCCCCCGCGCCTCCCCGGGAGTTACGGTAGTTTGGGGAGAAAGTCACCGCCGCCGCTGTCACCGCGCTGCGGAGCTGCCGGAGCCACCGACACCCCCCGCCCGGCGACACCCCGACCCCCGCGGGCAGCATCCTGCTCCCCAGCCCCCCAAAAAACACGGAGCGAGCCCCAAATCCCGCTGGGCGCCAGCGCCCAGACAAGCATCCAGTACATCCCCCCCTCTCCTCACCCTGCAGAGCTGCTGGAGCCCCGGATCCCCCCCGGGACACCCCAAGCCCCGGGGCCAGCATCCCGCTCCCCAGACCCCCAGCTAACCCCCAGACCCCTCGGCAGAGCCCCAAATCCCGCCATCCAGAGCAGCATCCAGCGGTCAGCCCATCCCTGCTCCTCACCTCCCGCCCCCTTCGTCCTTCTGGGGGTCCCCGTGCCCCGTCCTGCTGCACCTCCGGAATGACACCGGGACACGCGGGGGTGGGCGGCTGGGGAAGGGGCTTTCTCCGGCGCGGATTTGCTGAGCTCATGCTGGGAAGGCAGCAGTCGGCCCCGCACCAGGGAATCTGGGACGCTGGCGGGGACGTTTTGGGGGTGCCCGAGCCGGTGCGGAGACACAGGGATGCTGCCGGAGCGATGCGGATCAGCTGTCCCCGGCCGTGTCCCGGGGCCCGGGGAGCGGACAGAAGGACAGCGTGTCCTGCGGTGGCGTGGGGACGTGCCGGCGGGGACGCGGGGACAGCGGGCGCCGCCGGGGAGAGCTGCAGGTGCCAGGCCTGCGGGATCCGGCCGGCTGGGGCGCGCCGGGCACCGCCACGCGCTGTCACCCACGGCAGGTGACAGCGTCACCGCTGCCCGGGAGTTGGCAGCTCCGGCCGAGCCGCCTTCCAGGGGAACTTTGCGCCTGCCCGCGGGCTGAGCGCTCCCACCGGGAGCGGCTCCATCCCGTGCCACCGCGACCCCGCAGGGATGCCCGGAGCGCGGCACGGCACTGCTTGGCCCAAGGTCACCCGGCTGGGTGGCACAGGGGGGACGCCAGCCTGTCCCCACCGGCAGCAGCGTGACAGGGCTGCTCTTCCCTCCCGGTGCCCGAGATTTGCTCCTGCCTTGTTCCCCCTCCAAACTTTGCACCTGCCCCCAATTTGTCCCCCTTGTCCCTGCCAGATGTCCCCGTCGTTGGCCGGTGGGCCACTGACGGCTGCTTGTGCCATCGCCAGCTCTGCTTGGCGGGCTGGAAGCTCCCAGGGCAGAGCTCGAGCTGCCGGATTTGGGGGGACAGACCCCCTCTCCCCGCTTCCCAAACCCCGTGCTCCCCGGCTGCTGGGGCTCCCGTCACGTGGGAGTTTTCCCACGTCAGCGGCGGCGGCTGTGCCGTGGCGCCTGGAGCCCTGGGGTGCTGGGGGTGCACACACCTGTGCAGCACCCTGGCACTGCCTGCTTCCCTGGATGTTCCCACCTTTCCTGGATTTTCCAGACATGGTGCTGACGGGGGTCTGTCCCCCACCCTGATGGAGGCTGTCACCTCACACCCCCGCAGAATTTGGGAATTTGAGCCAGACAAGCCACATCCCGGGGTGAAGCAGTGCCTGTTGTTCCCCCAAAACCCTGCCCGAGGTGGCACCAGCCTCGTCCTCCTCGTCCCCTGCTCCGTGTCACCGTGCAGGGACAGTGGCTGTGGCCCCCAGCACTGGCTGTGTTTCATGGGGGGAGAAGATGCAGTGAAATTTGGCAACTTTGCTGCCCAGGGAAAGAGGGATCTGGGGGGTAACGTGGAGCCCGGAGGTGCTGCTGGGGTGGTCTGGTTCTGGGGTTGGAGATGCCCGAGGGACTCTGGGCTGGGCTGGCAAGGGGTGTTGGGAATTGGGATCAAGCTGAGGCGCTTCCCAAAGCAGCTCCGGCCAGCTGGAGGCTTTTTTGGGGAGCTGCAGGGGGCTGTGCTGCTGGGGGACCACCAAACCCTGTGTCAGGAGAGCCGCGTCCAAGCACGAAGCAGAGCTTGGGGCTGCTCGCAAAGCTGCCCTCGGTGCCACAGGGACAGCGTCCCCCTTGCTTTGGGAACACCGGACAGCTCCCTTGTCCCTGCCAGGCTCCCCCCCTCCCTCCCCATCGCTGTCCCCGCTGCTGGCACAGCTGTCCCCTCTGGGGTGACATTCGCATCCCCAAAGCTCCGTCTCAGCGCGGCCAGCAGGTGCCGGGGCCCCTGCTCCCCACGTCCCCATCTTTCCCGGCTGGAAGCGTTCCGAGCAGAGCCGCGCGGCGGCTGGAGGTGGTGAATCAATAACCAGGCAGCAGCTGCCTGTTTTCCCCCCGCACCGCCTCGGAGCGGGCGATGGAGCCCCTGGTGCTGGCGCGGCCGTGGGAGCAGCTCCCCGGGGCTCGGGAGGAAAGCCGGGCTTCCAAAGGAGCCGGCACACGGCGAGGAGCGAGGCGGGGGCCGGCGGAGGGGCTGGGAGCGGGATGAGGGAGCGTGACGGGCGGGAAGGCAGACAAAGAGCGCAGGGATGGCAGCGCACGGGCCTCGCCGGGAGCCGGGCACCTGCTGCAGCCTCGCGTCCCGCACGGCGCCACACGGAGCGGGAGCCCCAGCCCCAGCCGGGACCCCCGTGCTGCGCCGCTCTGGGGTCCCCCTCCCAGGCAGCCCCTCTGCTCCAGCCCCAGGGATGCTCCTGCCGGCGTCTCGGAGCATCCCCCGCGGCCTCACCCCGGCCCTTTGTCCCCCCACGGCGACTCCATCCCATTTTCCCCGGCGGGGGGGAGGGTCCACGCGGATGCCGAGCCCCCCACGGTGGGGGTTCCTTGCTCCCAGCAGTCGCCACCAATTCGAACCCTTTCAGCCTCCCCACGCCCGCACTGACGTGTCCCAGGACCCTCCTGAGCACGGCTGGGGCACAGCAAGGACAAGGATCTGGGGGGCTCCCCGCCGGGCGAGGGGTCTGGCAGGGAGGTCTTGCTGATCCCCCCTGACTCCGAGGAGCAGGAGAGGAGCTGGAGGCGGCTTTTCCAGCGCCTGATCTCGCGGCTTTTCCGCCTGCCGAGGAAGGAGGGGGGGAGCGGGGAATGAAGACAGATGCAGATAATATCGCTGCCACCCCCCGGCCCCCGGGGGCTCAGCTACAATATCCATTATGGATGGAGCCGGCAAGGGAACGGCTCCGGGAGAGCCGCCGGAGCGCGGGGACGATGGGCAGAGCCCCAGCGTCGAGCAGGGGGACGGACCCCCCTGGCTGTGCCTGGCGGGGGGGCCTGGGGGACGTGTGTGGGGCCGGGCTGGGCGTGGGGGGCGGCGGGCTGGGATGGCCAAGCGGAGCATCCCCCATCCCTGTGGGTGCCAGCCTGGCTGTGGCACGGCAGGCTCCGCGCCCGCCTGCCAGCTCCGGGTGTCCCCCCAGCGCCCCGTCCCCTCCTGGCGTCCCCGGGCCTGGCTGCAGGAGGGAGGGTCACCTTGGGGGGAGTTAATGAGGTTTGAAGGGAAGCGGTCGCGCCGGCGGGGACGGAGCCAGCGCGGCGGCGGAGGGACGGCACAGCACAGCAGCCTTGCTCCCGTGCCTCCGAGGGGGAAACAGCCCGAGGGATGCACCCCGGGGGGTTCCGGGTATCCAGGGAAGGAGGGGTGATCGGCTTTTCCCCTGCGGATGGGGCTGTGGGACACTGGTGGCTGCGGGGGCGAAAAGGGTGCTGTCCCCGCTCCACCATGGATGACCATCCCTGCTGCCCCATGGATGACCCTGCCTCTGTGTCCCTGGGGGATGCAGCCCCGCGATCAGGATCTCCTGGAGAATTTCCACCACCCCCACCTACCCCGAGTACCTTTCCATATCTGAGTTCCCAGTCCTCCCTCCGGGGCCTTCCTCGGCCCTTCATTCCCCTCCTCTGCCTCCTCCCTCCGAGCTGCTTTTCTCCATCTTTCCATGTGCTCCCCTCCAAGCCTCCTCTTCCTCTCCCAGCCCCGCCAGCCCCAGGGTCTGAGGGCTGTGGCCGACCCTGAGCATCTCCCATCCTTGAACTCCCTGCGGGAATCCTGTCCCCACGGTGGCCTTGCTGTCACAACACGTGACGTGACCCGGGGGGCACTGCCCGGGGGGAATCAGGGAGCTGGGGAAGCCAGCGGGGGCTCGTGGGGCCGGGATGGGCAGCAAGGAGCCTGCCCGCCCTTGTTTCCTGGGAGCCGCTGGCTCTCTGCCTTGCCTCTCTCCTGCTGTCACCCGAAGGGCTCGGGAATGATGGAGAGCCCCGGGGCGAGAGGCTAAGTGGCGACGGCGCGAGAGCTGGCAGTGCCACTCGGGATGAGAGCCCAGCCCGCTCCTCCGTGCCCGCTGCCAGCGCCAGGAGAGGATTCTGCGCCAAGGGAAGGGGGGCTGGGGTGACTCCAGGGTGGGGAGCGATGCCCAAGGGCTCATTTTGGAGCCGGGATGACGTGGAGCACCAGCCTGGCCAGGGGATGAGCGGCGTCCTCTAGGGAGCAGGGGCGGGGATGGGGATGAAGATAGGGATGGGGATGGATGAAAACCATGGGAGCAGAGGGGGCTCCGAGGTTCTGGGTGCTCCTCGGGAAGAGAGGCACTGTGGGGACCACGAGGCAGAGAAACCACACGGCTCTCCGGAAATCCTCGGCCAAAAATAGCCCAGCACCAGGGAAGGAGCGCCTTCCCTTGCCAAATTCTCCTTCCATCCCCAGCTCCTGCTTGCCGTGGCCATGGAGCAGGGATGGGTGGCATCAGGGCTGGAGGGGACACAGGAGGCACTCATCCATGCACGGCAGCTGGAGGGGATAGGGCATGTCCGGGAGCATCTGGCCAGAGCTGTGCAGTGTTTTGGGACGGGGTTCACCTGGCCCAGCCCCCTGTGGTGGGGCGGGTGTTGGCAGGTTCTGCCACCCAAAGCCCCCCAGGACTAGCAGCTCGGCGTGGGGGAGGCAGAGCCGGCCGGATTGACAGCTCCGGGGGATGGACAGATGGCTGGATGGAGAGGCAGATGTGTACGAGGGATGGATGGACGGATGGATGGATGGAGAGATTGATGGATGTGTTGGAGAGGGGGAGCACGGATAGACAGGCAGATGGGGAGCAGACGCCCGTTCTCGCCCAGAGCACGCCTGGGGTGCTGAGCTGTGGCACCACTCCTCTCCCCGAGGCTCATTCCAGGATCCTGCTGGGCAACGGGATGGCCGTGGGGCTTCCAGTGATCCCTCACATCTACAGAGCCACCTGGGAACACGTGGGCAGGTGGCACCACCGGACCCAGCTGGCCCAGCCCTCCAGCTCTTCCACGTGACACGCCAAGCCCGGCTCACAGCATTCCCAAAATGCCCACTGGGTTGTTACCAGGCATGGCAGCAAAGCTTCGTCCCCCTCCGTGCCCATCCCTTCTCCCTCTCCCTGTGCCAAGGGCTTGGATTCCACGCTCCTGCTGTGCCCGCCGGGGTCCTGGCCGGCTCCCCCCAGCCCGGGATCCTGCACAGGAGCGAAAGCTGCAAATTCACAGCTTTTCAGCTGCATCCTAAAAATAAGAGGTTTGGGAAATATCAAGCAAATGAGTGGGAGGATGAGAAGAGGAGGAATTAATGGCCTGGCGCCAGGCAGGCAGCATCTGGGAAGCCCCGGCGTGACAACGCGGCCACCTCGCTCGGTGCCGTGCGGCCCTCCACCCCGGCAGCACGAGGGGCTGCTCCGACGCCGCATTCCTGCCCTATCCCTTCCCATCCCACAGCTCCTCCCCGGCACCACCATCCCCACCAGGCTCGGCGTCACATCCCGCTCCGGCTCCGCAGCTCACGACGCCGACGGCGCACGGTGGAATGTTGGGGGGGGGGGCGGGGGGACGCGCTGCTCTCTTGGCACCTTCTCCCGCTGCCCTTTTCCCGGGAATGCACGCGTTTCCGCTGCCGGTTTGGCGGCTCGGCACGTGGAGCCGTTTCTCCGTGTGGAGCCGTGGATGTCGGCTTTGATCACCACTTCCAGGGAGCTCAGCGGGAGCTTGGCCTGGCGGGGCTCCCCACAGCTTTGATTTTGCCCCCCCAGGGTGCTTGGCGTCCATGGATCTCGCCGCTGGAACAGGGTGAGTGGGAGGATGCTCCAGGAGATGGGGCTGCAGTACTGAGCAGCTGCCAGGGAGACGCGGTGTCCACAAAAGCTGGGAATTTTGGGGTCTGGACCCAAAAATATGGCCCTGAGAGCCTGGACAGGGCCATCCTCACTGGGACACCTGCAGAGAGGTTGGTTCCAGCCGTGGTGCCACAGGTGTGAGGCTTGTTCCAAAGCCTTTGCTCATCCAAAGCCTCTGGCACTCCGTGGAGATTCCAGCCTCTCCATCCTGAGCAGGAGCTATTTTTTGGGAAAGCTGGAGCCATCCCTGGATGCCCCTTGCAGGGGCTTTTCCTTCCCAGCATTGCCCCAGGGCTTTGGCTGGAGGTGATGGGTCTGAATCCTGGGATAGGCACAGGGAAACAGGGAACTGGGGGGAGATGGGTGGAGCTGCCCGTGAGGCTGATGGTCTCACTGAGCCTGTCCTGGAGCTGAGTGTGCACAGGGCCACCGGCACCACAAAGCCACCAAGGTGTCCAAGGCTGCTGGGCTGCACAGGGACACTGGGATGCCCAGGGCCACCAAGGTGCCAGGGCCACCAGGATGCACAGGGACACTGGGATGCTCAGGGCCACTAAGGTGCCAGGGCCACCAGGGTGCACGGGGACACTGGGATGTGCAGGCTCACTGGGACGCACCAAAACCCACAGGATCACCAGGATGCCCAGGACTACCAGGATGTTCAGGGACACTGGGATGCCCAGGGCCACCAGGACGCACAGGGATGCTGGGATGTGCAGGCTCACTGGGATGCACAAGTCTACCAAGAAGAGCAGGATTACCAGGATGCCCCGGGCCACCTGGATGCACAGGGATGCTGGGATGTGCGGGATCATTGGGATGCCCAGGGCTATCAAGAAGCACAGGGCCACCAGGATGCTGAGGGATACTTCTGGGCGCCCCTGGAATGGGCTGTGCCATGGCTCCCACATCCACCATTCCTGCACACACCGTGTGTGGGATCTGTTGGCACTGGCAGCTCTTCCCAGCTCCAGGTGCATCTTGCCGGATCTCCGACTCGCACGCCGCTGGAGAGAACTAATCCCTCTTGGATCTCCACACCTCTCCTTGTGCCGGGGTCGGGTTTGAAGTGTTTCCTCACATCCATAAAGGCCAGAGCTCACTCGTGCTCCGGAGGCAGCTAATCCCGAGCCCGCAGGAGCGGCGGATAAAGGAGGATAGGCACGTGACGGCATCCCTGTCTCCCAAACATTCCCCATCTCCCACCCCAAAGTGGGCACTGTGAAGGGTGCAGGGGGTTCCCTGCCTGTCCCAGATCTGCCATGGAGACCCTTCCCCTGTATCCAGAACTCTCTCCACTGGCACAGGGACCCTCTCCCCTGACATGAGACCCTCTGCCTGCATCCAGAGCCCTCTCCCCCCGGAACAGGGACCCTCTTCCCTGGCTCACGCAGCACCACACAAATCCCACGCTGGAGAACTGCGGCGCTAAGGAGGCAGGTAATCCCCTCATCAATAACGGCCTGAAAAAGTGGAATTATATCCCTTCAAGTGGCATTGAATCCTGATGAAAGAGCCGCAGGGATGTTCCACCCCCTTCCCAGCCTCCGCAGCATCCCCTGCTCTGCCAGCACGTGGGACGGGATTGGGACCTCGATCCCTCCGAGGAGGGACGTGTGGTCTCCGCCTCGTGGCACCCCCTCACTGTGCCCTCGGGATGAGGCAGGACCGGCGAAGGGCCGCTGGGATTTGGGACCGCAGGGACCCCATGGCCGTGGACCCCCAAGTCCCACCCAGCTGTCTCCGTGCTCCCGCCTGGATGCGCGCTGGCAGCCGCGGAGATTTATGGAGAGCGGCAGGGAAGGAGGGCCAGCGGCGGCGTAAACAAGCGTCGCGTTTCCACCTTGTCACCCGCTCCCGGGGCTGTGTCCCGGTGCCACGCAGCTCCCGCGTCCCCCCCGGATCCACCCGCCCCAGGGCATCCCGTGCCGCGCATCCCAACGGCACAGGGACCCCCACACCGCGCTCCAGGGTTGGGGACGCGCCAGGAACTCCGAGCGGCTCCGAGTCTTTAATTAATCGAGCGTTAATTGCCTGGAAAACGAGTCATTTAAGTCATGCTGAGGGCGGCGCAGCCTGGGGGCCGGAATCCCTCCCCCCGCTCTGGGGACACGGCGTGATCCCACCGGGAAGGGCCGGATCCACCTCGTGCACAGGGACACCCCTGGAGCCCCCCAGGCGGGATCCCGCCCGTGAATCCATCAGGATCACGGGGTGACGCCAGGTTTGGGGCGGTGGTGGCACCTTGGCACAGGGAATTTGGCCCCGGGAGCCGGCGCTCGCTGATGTCCCTCTCCAGGCACTGCCACGGCCCTCGCAGTGCCCACCCCTTCCCTCGCCTCCTCCTTTGATTCCCAATCTCCAGATTAATTTGAGGATGAACTCGATCCCGCGAGGACCGAAGGATCTGTCGGAGCTCCGGGCTCAGCCAGGGGGGTCACGGTGCTCCCAAGCTGGAGCAGGGAGCACCAAGCGGCGGGGCAAGGAGAGCTCATCCCAATTCCCAGCCCGCCCAGCGGTCCCGGTGCCGCTTGCGCTGGTCGGGGTCGCAGCCGAGGGGCGCCCGGCGCTCCCCGGCCGTGCCGGCTGCTTCCCATTCCCCCGGCAGCTTATCCAGCCGGGGTTTATAAATGTTGGAAATTAAGGGCTGGTCCCAAATTCCCTCCTAGGCAACAGTTGCTATGTGAGTTTTATACACAGGCTCCTCGTGATCCGGGAGCGATGGAGGAGCTGCCTTTGGATGGAGAGAGCGCGGGTGCTGCAGGGGGGACCTGTCCCCAAAACCACCCCCACCGCATGCCACCCTCATCTCCTGCTCAAGGATTTGCTATAAATCCCCCCTTCATGGTCACCACCCCCTTTCTTCGTCGGATTCCAGCGGGGATGTGGGAGCTGCGGGAGCCTCGGCACGTGCCGGGGGCGATTCCAGAGCCCTGATCCCCCCTCCCGGTCCACTCTGACTCACCCCGGCCTCGGAGCCGCCGGGAATTTTCGTTACAATAACAAGGTCTGCGGGCGAATTAATTATTAACATTTATTGTTTAATATTTATACTGCAGCACCGCTCCCGGCGCTGCTCCGGCCTCGCTGCCTCCCACCGCCAGCTGGGGCTCCCGCCACGGACAATCCCATCCCAGCGGGCACGGCGGGATGCGGAGCATCCACAGGGATGCTGTGGTGAGGGTCCTGCCTGGAGACAGAGCTGAGCTGGTTTGGGGTCCCACTGGACCCCTCCGAGCCGCCTTGGGTCCGTATCCTCACCCCACGGTGGTCGTCCTGCATGCTGGGAGCCTGGATGCGAGCAGAAGTGCTGGATGAGGCTGATGGGTCCTTCCCAAGCTTTTGGGGTCTCCAAGGTGGCCCCCAAGGTCCCCAGGCTGGGGAGGAGCAGGCCTGCACTGCCATTTGGGATGAATCCATGTGGAATTGGCCCACAAAGCAGCGGCCGTGGCCTTTGTCGGCTGTGCCGGCGCTCCTGGGGTGCCAGTGGGGATTAAAGCTCCAGCCTGCACTCCTGGGAAGTGCTCAGGCCGGATTGTCCCCAGGACACACTCGCCGGGAGCTCACCCCAAGGGGGTGGCCACCGTGACGGGACACTGCAGAATGGAATTGGAACCTGTGGGACCACATTCCCTGTGCTTTCCCTCCCTGCACCCCGGCGCAGGCGAGGAACACCCCAGGATTTAGGTCTGATCCCCCCTTTGTGCTCTGCTCCCCCCAGGGACCCCCTCCCGCGACGTCCTCCTGGTCTCAGCCATCATCACCGTCAGCCTTAGCGTCACCATCGTCCTCTGCGGGATCTGCCAGTGGTGCCAGCGGAAAATGGTGAGTGTCCCGCTTCCCTCCCGCCCTCCCGGCATCCCGGCGCGCCCCCCGTGCCGCCGGCCAGGGGGCGATTCCCTCTTCCAGGGCAGCAGCCAAGCGGAGGCAGCTCCCCGGAGCTGCCGGCTGCAGCTTTTATTTGGGCTTTTCCGGATGTGCTAATGAAATGTTTGGGCGAAACTGTTTGTGTGGCACAAAGGGAAGTTTCCAAATATATGGATATATATTGGTGACGAGCCGGAACGAGCTGGCCCCTGTCCTGCTGGGCACGCTCCTGCCTGGAAAAGCCCCGTGGGAAGGCGGCCAGCCCGTCCCTGGCAGCGCCGGGTGCCGTGAGCCATTCCCGCCGCCCGCTGTGCATCCCTGCTTCCCTCCCCGACTCCCACCGGGGGCTTGGGACAGCGCTCCCTCCCGCCCCGCGTCCTTCCTCCTCCTGCTGCTCCTCTCCCGGGAGCAGGACGTGCTCGGCCACGTTTCCTTCGCCATCGGAATCGAATCTGGGTCAAGTGCTGCGATGGCAGCGGCGCTTCCCGCCAGGGAGATGCCCACCCCCAGCCGTGGGAAGGCAGCATTCCCTTGGGAATGGGAGAGGGGATCCGCACGGCGATGAGGCAGCGGGAGGTGCGAAGGGCCCTTCCAGGTGCCGCCCAGGGGATGGGGAGAGAGAGCTGGAGGAGGAAAAAGCACTGGAAAGGAGGAGGCTGGAGCTGGCAGAGGAACAAAGAAGTGTAAATTGGCCGGGAAGGCACATCCCAACCGGGCCTGGAGAGCACCCGGAGCTGGAGCGGCTCTGTGGGAATGACAGCCAGGCCTGGCCGGCCGGCTCCGGGCCGTGCCCACGCCGCCACCGCTGCCGTGTCCTCAGGAGCCCCGAGCCACCGCAGCTGGGGACACGGATTGGGAGGTGATTCCCTCTAGGATGGCCTGTGAGCATCCAGCAAGGTCAGGCACCCTTGTGCCTCCCGCTGGGATTAGCCCATGGGCATCCAAGGAGGTCCAGGTGTTGCCCTCCAGCTCCTGGCAGCATCAGCCCTTGGGCATCCAAGGAGATCCAACATCCTGCAGTTCCTGGCAGGATGAGCCAGTGCAAATCCAAGGAGGTCCAGGTGTGTTTCCCTGCAGCTCCCAGCAGCCCTTGGGCATCCAAGGAGATCCAACATCCCTACAGCTTCTGGCAGAATTGGCCCTTGGGAATCCAAGGAGGTCCAGGTGTTCCCCTGCAGCTCCTGGCAGGATTAGCCCATGGCTGCCCAAGGACACTGTGCTGAGGATCCAGGTGTCCCAGCAAGCCAAGGAGATAGCTCCATGTAGATATGAAGAGGCTGGGAAGGAGGAGAAAGGAGAAACATTCCCCTTCCACGGGCAGGCTGGGTCAGGCCTGCCTCCTGGGATCCAGGACAGTGGGATGGGAGGGCTGGTTCTCCACCCCATCCTGCTCCAGCAGCTGTTCCCATCCCACCTCATCCACCTGGCACTGCATGGAGCATCCTCGTTCCCAGTTGTTGGATAATTGGCATTAATTGGCTCCTGCCCACCCTGGCTCAGAGCAGCGCTCGGAACCTGCCGGAGTGCCCTGATTACCAGCCCCAGTTTGGAGCCAGCTCCAGCTTCATTATCCTACGGCAGCACTTCCCTGGCGCTGGGAAAGGTGAACTCAATTAATTCAGGCACAATTAGGCCTAAAATTATCCACTCCTTCCCAGTGAGGCCATGGAATGGGATGCTGGTGGCCATGCTGTCCTCAGGGTGATGCAGGGCACGAGCGCCCAGGGACCAAGGGATGGAGCCTTTGGGAATTTTGCTGCCTGGATGGGTGGGATGGAGCCTGGAGACCATAAGGGAAAGGGCAAAATCCATGTCAAGTTCTCTAAGTGGTGGCAGCTCCCATCTTCCATTGGGATACTCCAGGGGTCCTCTGCAACCCCCCGACCCCCCTCTCCTCTCTTTTCCACAGGGAAAGCGTTACAAGACTTCCCTGGAGACTGTGGGAACTCCGGATTCCAGCCGAGGCCGCAGCGAAAAGAAAACCATCAAGTAGGTGCCAGGATGGGGGGGGAGAGGAAGGACAGAGGTGGCCATCCCTTCTCCCAGCTGGAGAGGGGCTCCGGGAGACTGGGAGAGCTGGTGGGTGTCTCCAGCATCCTCGTGCATCCCACTGAGCAGTGGGCATGATGGAGTCACGGGAACAACGGCGTGGGTGTCCCCAGGGATGCTCCAGGCCTGGGTGTGTGGATTCTGAGCTCTGCCCAGCGGGGCTGGAGCAGCTCTGCATCCCACGGGCATTCCATGGAGAAAGGAGAGCCAAGCTGGGATATCCCACGGCACTGGGTAGGGAGTGAAGTGGAGCCTGGAAGCTGAGGGTGTTCTCCTGGGCATCCCAGATCCAGCACTGCGTCTCCACACCCTCTGCAGACCTCCAGGGAGCAAGAAGCTGGACCACCAGTAGGGAAAAGGCTCCTGCCTGGAATAAGCCTTTGGAAAACTTCCTCCCATGGTTGGTCTGGGTGTTACCGGGGTGCAAGGGCACCTGGACTGCTGCTCCCAGCCAACCAGGATGAGCTGGGAATGGAGGGGAAGGCTCATCCCACCCGATGGCATGGCACAGGCAGCTTTCCCAAACTCCAGCGCATTCCATACAGCTGGGATCAACCCGGAGCTGCAGGTGGGCATCGGAGACTTCTCCAGTCTCCCAACACCAGCGGGGAGCTGCTGGGCCCCCCCAGCCCCTGGCACGCAGCTCCAGTGGCTTCCCAGAGCCAGGAGGTCCAGGTTCTGTGCTGGCAGCAGGCTGGTTCCATGGGAAAGGATCCGCAAGGGAAGGGATCCGCAGGGGAAGGGATCCGGAAGTGTCCCCAACACGCAGCAGTGTCACAGTTAACCAAGCGCTTCCAGGACCCGGCTGCTGAGCAGGCGAGGACACACGGACACGCGTGCCGAGGGCGCACGGACACACCTTTGGGAATGCCGTGCAGGCGCCGCACTCGCCGAAACCCCCGTCACCCCCCACATCCTTCTCTCCTTCCCAGCCGGCGGAGCCGCCCGCTCCTGTCTTTCCGCAGCTCTTCCCATCCTTCCGTCCATCCTTCCGTCCGTGCCCGTGTGTGTGTGTGTGTGTGTTGGTGTCCAAGGGTGGGCTCCCCGTCTCTCTCCGCAGGATCCTGGCGCTCCGGGGGCGGAGGGCTGCTTTTCCTTCTCTCTCGCAGGAATTCAGCTTCTCTCTCTTGTATTTCCCTTTTCTTTCTCCCCCGGAATCCGGCCGCTGTAGCGATCTAGACAGAGACTTTTGGAATAACAATGACAACACAGTGCAGCAGAAATGGAGCTCCTACCCTCCCAAGGAGTTTATCCTAAACATTTCTCCTTACGCTCCGTACGGTGATCCGCGCCTTTCCCTCAAGTGAGTCTCTCCTTACCGAATTTGCTCCGTGTAGTGAGTATATGGGCAGCACCCACTCGCCTTCCTCCTCCTCCTCCTCCCCTTTCCCTCCACCTTCTCCTCCTCCTCTTGCTCCCGGGCTCCCCGCACGCCACCCCATGGGCCGTCCCATGGAGACGAGCAACCCCTCCTTCCCGCATTCCCGGGGCCGGCCGGGATCTCCCTCCAGGACGGGGTTGCGCGTTGGGGGCACCCCCTCGGCGCGGGGACGGGTCCCCCCGGGGCTGGGCTGCCGGCGAGCGGGACCCTCCTTCCCGACCCCTCTCCCTCCTCCGCCCTTTCTCTTGGATGTTTTGCCGAGGCCCCCACGCATCCCGCGCCAGGACCCCCTTTTTTTTTTTTTTTTTTTTCCTTTGCAGTGCTGATGTCTCTCTTTCTCTCTCTGTCTGTCTGTCCGTCTCTTGTCCGTCTGCCCCCTCCGGCTCTGTCGCCCTCCCCTCATTCCCCGACGGCTCCCCACGTTTTCCACGTCCATCCGTGTGTCCGTCCGGCTCCCTTCGTGTCTGTCTGGGGGGGTCCGGCCGCCGGCCCGGCCCAGTGGCTCTCTGTTATCAGGGGCCAAACTGACGGCGTCGGCCGCCGCCGGGCTGTCCGGGGACCGCGACGGCCGGCCCGGGGACAAGCAGCGGCTCGGCGAGGATGGAATGAGGAGCAGCGTGTCCGCCCACAGCGAGCCCGGAGCTGGAAAGGCCGCACGGGGCCGCTGGCACACGGTGCAGAGCCACTTGGCCGCAGGGAAGCTCAGCCTGTCCAAGTGAGTGAGCACGGCACGGTCCGGCACGGCACGGCCACGGCCTGCGGGCCCGGGCGCCCGCTCCCCGCTGCGGATGCGCTTGGATGGGGGCCACCGACAGGACCCCGGGGCCGCCAACAGGTCCCCAGGACCACCGTGCCGTGGGAGAGGAGGCGTTTCCCGTTCTCCCAGCGGTGTTTTGGCTCAGGGGCAGCAGAGGAGGCAGCCGGGCAGGAGCAGCACCTTTGGGTGCTGTCCCCAGCGCTGAGGGTGGCCCTGCCCGATCCCGCTGGGAAGCGGCTCAGCATTCCCAGCTCGGGTTCTCAGGGCAGGCAGCACCACCTCGGTGGTGTCCCAAAGGCAGGAGGTGCTGTCCCATGCTCCCATCCCTCAGGAACAATCAGGGACAGTCTGTGGCATTTTCCCCCCGTGCGCTCCCTTGGCCCCCGGCACAGCCACCGGACCCGGCGCCGGTGCCACCACCTGATGCCGAGAAAAGTTGGGGAAAGTTCGGGATCGATCAGATTTAGGGAAAATCCGAGCTCTGCCAGGCTCTGCGGGGCTCCAGGCCGGGGTGGGGGTCTCGGCGAGACCCTTCACTGCTGGCAGCGCCGTGGCTCTGGCGGGGCCTGACGGGGGTGTGCCGGCCGTGGGCTCCGTCCGGCGTTCCCCGTCTCTGCTCCGGTTCTCCGCGCTGGGATGTGGCAGCCGGGGGGTCCCGGCGCTCCGCGACAGCTCGGTGACACCGCCCATTTGGCGTGAGGCTGCTGCGCTCCAGTCGGGCGCTGGGAAGCAGGAGGGAGAGGCCAGGAAAAGCGGGAGCGGCGCAGCCTTCAGCCGTTCCCCCGCTGGGAATCCGGACAGACGGACGGGATGGAGCAAGGCGGCAAGGGCAGGGTTAAGGGGACGTGGCGGAGCACCTTGTTTTCCAGCATCCCCTTGGCGCAGCGCCGCCGGGACTGGGGGTGTCCCGGGGGTCCGGGCCGAGGGTGGGGCAGTGCCGGTGCCGGGGGATCCATCCGGGCACGGGCAGGGCGCGGTGCCGCCTGGCACGGCGCTGGAGGAGCTCGCGCCTCCAGCTGGCGCGGGGCCGACAGGAGCCAGATTTAGTTTCCTGTGACTGAGAGGTTGTAAATTGAACTAATTTAGGATTCGATAGGAAAACGAAAGGAGGTCGGCGGCAGCGCGGAGGGGGGGGCGGCAGCGTCCGGGCGGTGCCTTTGGCCCCGGCCGTGGGGCGCCGTCCATCCTCGCTCTCCGCTCCTCTCCACTCCCTTCCCTCCTCTCTCTCTTTCTCCCACCTTTCGCTCTTTCTTCACCTCCTTTTTTTTTTTTTTTTTGTTGGTTTTTTTTTTTTTTTGGAGCTGTCTATCCCTCCCCGCTCCCTCTGTGTCCCCGCTGCTGGCATTGCACGACGGCACAGCTTCGCCCCGCGGTCCCAGCCGGCAGCGCCGGGACGGGGGCTGCTGCTCGAGGCCACTCCTCGGTGCCAGGCCGTGCTCCCGGGAGGTCTTTCCTCCCCTGATCTCGCGGCCACGAGCTTCCCAGGCTGCCGTGGGCAATCCGGCGCGGCTGCATGGGCTGCGCCACGCATGTGCTGCATGGCCAGCGCCGCTTCCTTGGGGCATCCCGCTGCTCTCTCCGCTCCGCCGCCCACGCGAAGCCCGTGCGCCCCGGGCCGCGCTGCTCCGCTCTCCGTGTCCCACCAGAGCTGCGTCCGTATCCCCCAATCCCACATCTCCCACCCCGGTTGGAGCCTGGCTTGGCCCCGGGGACGCCTCGCTGGAATGTCACCACCACGGGGGGTTCGGCCCCCCGCCGCGGCGCTGCGGGATTCCCCCCTTCCCGCAGCGTCCAGCACGGAGGGGATGGGACGCCGAGCCCCCGCGGCGCCGCTGCAGGGTGCTGGGCTGGACTGGGAGGGACTGGGACGCTGGGATGGGCTGGCTGGCAGCACGTGAGCGGGCGCCACGGGATTTGCCTCCACGCAGCAGCCTAATTATCCCGCAGAGCAGGTCGGCCGGCGTGCTGGGAAGGCGCTGGCGGAGCGGCGGCCGCGGGAGCGGGTGGGCATCCGGCCCTGGCGAGCCCGCCGGGAGGCAGGATGGTGGCGGCCCGAGCCCCCCGTGCCGCCGGCAGGGCCGAGCCGCGGGCGAGAGGCGGAGGATCCGGGCGCTGCCCCCGCTGGCTCCCGCCGGAGCGCTCCCTGCGCTGGGGCATCTTCTCTCTAACTCTCTTCTTTTCCTTCCTCCAATTTTGCCCCTTCACCTTCTTCTCCTTTCTCTCCTCTCCTCTACCCTTCCTCTCCCTAAGTTTCGAGGACTCCACCCTGTCCACAGCCACTACCCTTGAGTATATCCCCACCTCAGCAGGCGATCCCAAATTCCAGAGGCCCCGCACGCTCGTGCGCCAGCAAAGTCTGCAGCAGCCCCTGAGCCAGCACCAGCGCGCCAACCACAGCCAGCCCACCACCAGCCAGAGCCTGGGCCACCTCCAGGCCCACAGCGGCTCCTCCGCCGCCGCCGCCAACTCCCGGGGCTCCCGCGGCGGCCCGGCGCGCCAGGGCACCGCCGCCGGCTCCAAGCAACGGATGGCCGGGGGCAGGAGCCGCTCCAACCCCGGCAGCTGGGACCACGTGGTGGGGCAAATCCGCAACCGCGGCTTGGACATGAAGTCCTTCCTGTAAGTGTGCGTTCGCCATCACTGCCCTCTGCATTCTCCTCTCCACCCCCTCCATTCCTGTCTCCATCCCTTCCCCTCCTTTGCTCTCTCTGCTCCATCGCTCTCCATCACCCTCTCATGTGCTCTGTCCCTCTGCTCTTTTGCTCTCTCCACCCCTCTCTCCATCGCTCTCCTCTGCTTCTTTGCTCTCTCCATTCCCTCTCCATCCTCCTCTGCTCTGCTCTATTCCTCTGTCCATCCCTCTCTAGAACCCTCTCTCCCTCCCTCTCTCCTCTGCTCCTCCCTTCTGCTCATCCCTCTCTCCTCTGCTCCTTTACTTGCCCCGGTGCGGCCGCTCACCTGTCATCCCCTTGGGGACATGTTGCCCAAGGCCTGTGGGAAGGTCCATGTCCCCCTCGGCTCACGGGGGGCTCAGGGAAAAGGCTCCTGCACTTCCCCAAAGCGCTTTGCCACAGCCCTGGCCGTCCCCTTCCATCCCCAGGGACGGCCACCAGCGAGGTCCCCAGGGAGTGACGTTGTCCCAGGTTGTCACGGTGTGGGTGGCAGAGCCTCCCGTGCCAGGGTGACCGTGAGTAGGGCCCTGATATCATTCCCTGCCAGAGGAGCCATGGGATCTTTAATCCTCCTTAACCCCATCTCCTCCATCGGCTCTGGATTTCCATCATCAAACCCCAGGGACTAATCCGAGTCCCGTGTTGTCACCGTATCTCGGCACATGACATTGTCCCTCCTCTGCAGAGCTGGGCCCCCCGGCTCCATCTTCCCTTGGATTCTCTAGCTCCTCCCTGGCCGTTGTTTGCCCCCTGGCACCCTGGAAAAAGGAATGCTGAGATCCCAGCTTTGCTTTCTGCAGGCTGATGGCACTTGGAGGGGGATGCAGGACTGACCTTGCCCCTCCATGAGTTGACACAGCACTTCCTGCATCAGGATTAGACGAGATACACAAATTTGGGTGCCCATCCCACCCCTTCCCGCTCTGGTGAGAGGGCTGAACCTTCCTCCAGGCACCCTCGGGTGCACTGCCCAAGATCCCCTCTCCACTCTACCCTCTGCTAGGTTCCTCCCAGCTCCATTTCCCGGCTTCCCGATGTGGAGCTGCGGCTCAGCATCCATCCCGAGGGTCACGTTCTCCCTGTTTACCCAGCGCCGGTGCTGGTTCCAGCCTGGCTTGGCGGAGAGGGAGCAGCCGCAGAGCCCAGACGTGCCGAGTCAGCGCCGCTTCCCAGCGGAGGAGCCGCTGTCATTTCCCACCGCCTCTTTCCCCATCCATCGATTTTTCTTTCGCTCTTTCACCCCGTTCATCCTCCCCGGCGCCGCGGGTAAATGCCCGGGTTACAGACCCGGGCGAGGACCCGGAGAGGTCAAAGAGCCTGGCCATGGCACCGCCAATCCCTTCCTCCATGGAATGATGCTGGCACCCCACTGCTGTCACGCTCTTCCTCATTCCCGTCCCCTCCAGGCATCTTTTCCCCCCTTCATCAGGATTTTGGCACCCTCCCTTGCCCGGACCGGTGGAGGAGAGGGACAGCGCGGGTATCCACGCCTGCCGGGCTCCCTGGAGCCGGCGCCTTTCTCCCCACAGCCCTGTGCGCCCATCCCGGCCACCGCCACCTCGCAGGAGCCGGCGGGGAGAGCCGGGGTCCCCTCGCCGCCGGGGGTCCGCGGGACGCCGCCGGCTCCTGCCGGTTCCCTGCCTGACGCTGTGTTCTCCTCTCTCTTTCTCTCTTTCTCCCGCTGCCGGCGGGGCCGCCCGGGCAGGGAAGGCCGGATGGTGGTGCTATCCCTGGTTTTGGGACTCTCAGAGCAAGATGACTTTGCCAATATTCCCGACCTGCAACCCGCTGGGACGCAGCCGAACCAGGCGAACGCTCAGGGGGACAAGAGGTATGAGCGAGGACGAGGCCAGTCCCGCAGGAGGAGGAGACGAGGGCCTCACCCAGGGTGGAGGAGGAGGAGGAGGAGGAGGCTGGCCTCGTGGAGCGCGAAGGTTGGAGCGGCACAGGGTGGCCCAGCGGGCACCGGGACGTCTGAGCTCTCCCCGGCAGCGGCACCCGCGGTTCTGCCTCTGGAGCAGCGGCACCGAGAGGACCCCCATCCCTTCCTCCTCCCTCCTCCCTCCTTCCTCCCCCTCCTGCCCTTTCCGGCCCTGGCTGCATGCGGGGAGGGGGGGCGGGGGGACACGCTCAGGGACAGGGGGACACCGGGGGTACCCCCCAAGTGATGCCGCATGGGCTGAGCCGCGTTCCATCCCGACACGCTGCTGCCACCTCCATCCCGGCGGGATGGGCAGCTCCCCTGGGGATCCGGGGACACCGCTGCGGTGGCAGGGAGGCAGAGCGAGCGCCACAGGCCGGGAGGATGCCGCACCCCCGTTCTCCTCCAGCACGGCACAGCCCCTCGCCTCCGGCTGCTCCCCGCATTCCCGGCGTGCCGCCGGCTCGGCAGCGCACCCGGCCCCGGCCCCGGCGCCCGGCCGCGGCCACCGGCGCTGGCTGGCAGAGGCAGAGGGTCCGTGCGCCGCCGGGAGCGGGTGTTCATCCCTCCGGAGCGGGGAGGAGGTGTGAAGCCGGCGGGCGCTGCCTCCCCGTGTGCTCGGCGTGCGGATGAACTGGCACCGTTCTCGCCCGCCGGCTATTTTTACTCTGCTCCGCTTGGTTTCGCTCCATCTTTTAGCACTTCCCTCCCCAGCGTCGCGCTGCGCAGCCGGTCCCCGCCGGGAGCACCGGCAGCCCGTGCCGGCCGCCGGCTGCCCCGTGCCGAGGGGACGGGGACGTGGGACACGGCGGGTGGGTGGCTGTGCCGCAAGACCCCGCTCCCCGCTTGCCTCAGCTGCCCGCTCCGAAACGCCATCCCAGCACATGCATGGCATTCCCCACCTCCATCCCTCCCGCTCCTCGTTCCCTGGACTCCGCAGGACGTGGCGGGATCAGCCGGCGGAGGGGACGCGCTCCGGCAGCCTCGGCTCTCTCCCGCCCCCCGACGCTGCCGACCACCCGCTCTTCTTCCTCAAAACATCTCCTCCATCCCTGTTTCGCAGCTTCTTCCTTCCAGCCTGTCCCCGGCGGCTCCAGCCCGGCGCCTCGGCGTGTCTCCTGTCCCGGCGACTCCGTCTGTCCGTCCACCCGCCCCGCTCCTCTCTCCCATTCCCTCCCGGCAGGCCGGCGCTGGACGACGCTGCTCCTCCTTTCTTTTGCTCTCTCCCGCTCTCTCTCCCGCTATCCGTGACCTCCGCCGGCATTCCCGGCTCCACCGGCGCCTCCTCGCTCAGCGGCCCGGCCGCCGGCTCCTCCACCTTCATTTTCCCTGGTTTTAACCTAAGTTTGCCTCCCCAGCTGCCTCGGCCTCTCTGGTCCTTCCTGGGTGCCATCCTGTGTGTGCGTGTGGGTGTCCCCCATCGGCCCCCCCATGTCCCCTCCCCGCGTGTCTGCGTGTGCTTGGCGTGGTGGTGTGTGTCCGTGGCATGTTGTGGCTTCCCGTGTGTCCCTGCGCCTCTCGGTCCGTCTGGTGGTTTGTCACCGTGTCCCAGCTCGGACAGGAGCCGTGGCGGGGGGGTGGGAGCACCCCGGGCTGCCTGTCCCCTCCGCCACGTGCCTGTGTCCCGTTGTCCCCGTGCCTCATGGCAGCGTGGCCTCGGCGCATTCCCGCCTGTCTCCATCGCTGCTCTGTCCGTCCGCCTCCCACCGCTCCCGGCTGCCCACCCTGCCTGGCACTGTGCCCGGGAGCCACCGTGTGTGGGGACAGCCAGGACAGTGATCCCAGGAGTGTCTCAGCCACAGGAAAGTGGGGCAGGGGGCAGCGAGCCCACGTGGAGCACCCGTGGGTGCCTGGCACCCACCGGGATAAGAGGGTGTGGTGTGTGAGGAGCAGCCAGAGCCGTGGGTGCTGTGGGGACCGCGCTGTCCCTGCCATCGCCACGGGACGTGGCCAGGGGGACCTGCTGCCGTGTCCTAAAGGTGCCAGGCCACCAGCTGGCTCTGGGAGCAGGGCCAGGATGCTGGCGGGCTGCAGCCACCCTGTGTCCCGGCAGCGTCCGTCGGGCGCTGGCACAGCCCAGGCTCAGTATCCGCTGGCAGAGGGTGCCCGGGAAGCCCCTCGCTGTCTCGCTCTTGGCTCCCGGCCCCTCTCCTCCAAGGCCTCTCTTCCTGCAGGTTGCCGGCCGGTGGGAAGGCTGGGAATGCGGCACCGGCACCGGGGCAGCCGCCGCACGATGAGTCCGACCGCAAGACGGAGCCGCACTCCTCCGTCTCCGACCTGGTCAACTCCCTGACCAGCGAGATGCTCATGGTGGGTGGGTGGGCTGTGCTGGGTTTGGGGGTCTCCACGCTCGGTATCCAACCCTCCCAGCTCTTCCCTGCGCCATCCACAAGCGCTCCGGCACGTCCCTGCCCGCCGTGCCAAGTCCCCGTCGGCTGAGCCGACGTGCCGCGGACGCGTCCCCCGGGCTGGCACGAGGGAGCGAGCGGTGCTGGACATGTGAGGGATGCGCTGTCAGGAGGAATTTGGCTAATTGGAGCTCCCGTTCCGCGGGACGAGTGGCGCCGAGCCAGGAGCCATCGGAAGCGGTGGGGGCAGCAGGAAGCCGGGGAGAGGCTGATGTCCCCTGACAGCTGGCGGGGCCGGGGTCTGGGGGACGGGGCTCGGGTCCCCGCCAGTCCCCGGCACTGCGCTCACCCCCCTCGTCTGCCCCCCTCCCGCAGCTCTCCCCGGGCTCCGAGGATGACGAGGGCCACGAAGGCGTCAGCCGGGAGAACCTGGGCCGCATCCAGTTCAGCGTCGGCTACAACTTCCAGGAGTCCACCCTGACCGTGAAGATCATGAAGGCGCAGGAGCTGCCGGCCAAGGACTTCAGCGGCACCAGCGACCCCTTCGTCAAGATCTACCTGCTCCCCGACAAGAAGCACAAGCTGGAGACCAAGGTCAAGAGGAAGAACCTCAACCCGCATTGGAACGAGACCTTCCTCTTCGAAGGTATGGATTGGGATGGGCTGGAGGGGATCAGGGTGGGAGCAGAGCCTCGTGGGACCCTCCTGGGGTTCAGCTCAGCTCAAGCCACCAGAGTGGTGGCTGGTGGTGATGCGATGGGTTGGCCAAGCCACTGAGGCCAGGCTGGATGTGCATCCCATAAAGGGGATGTAGGGGAAATTTTGGAAGGCTCTGTGCCCCCATGGGTGGGTGCAGATGTGGGAATTAATGTGGCAGCAGCTCCTTGTGCCATGGGCTGCTCCCTGTCCTCTGCCTGGTGCCAAGGTCTTGCCACCAGGACAGGGAGGGTGGAGCAGTCCTGGAACTGCTCCTCACCTCCTTTGGTTTTCCATCTCTGTCACAGGGTTCCCCTACGAGAAGGTGGTGCAGCGGGTGCTGTACCTCCAGGTCCTGGACTACGACCGCTTCAGCCGCAATGATCCCATTGGAGAGGTGTCCATCCCACTCAACAAGGTGGACCTGACCCAGATGCAGACCTTCTGGAAGGACCTGAAGCCCTGCAGTGATGGCAGTGTAAGGCCCTGGACCCCCCCATCCCCCAGGGGAGGGGAGGTGACTCCCTGTCCCTGCAGTGTCCCAACAGGACCACCCCCCCTCCCAAGAGGGACATTTTCTGCTTCAGCATCTGATGGAGATTTTTCTCTTCCCAAATTTTATATTAAGTAGCCTAAAGTCTCATTTTGGGTCAAATCAAACTGTTTCAGGTAGACTTAAAATGAAAGTTTTTTCTTTCTCCTGCCTCCAGCAAGACCAGAAAACGTCCCACTGGGGGTGGCCCCATTTCCTCCTGCCCTGATTTTCTGTGCCTTCCCAAACCCCACCCTTGGGCTGCTCTGGTGGGGGTCCCGTGCCAGCACCCTGCTCCCACAGAGGAGCTCTGGGGGACGTGGGTGTCCTCAGAGAACGTGTGTGTCCTGCAGGGAAGCCGTGGGGAGCTGCTGCTGTCGCTGTGCTACAATCCCTCAGCCAATTCCATCGTGGTGAACATCATCAAGGCGCGGAACCTCAAAGCCATGGACATTGGGGGCACCTCAGGTACGGCACCGGCTGGCCCCTATCCTGGGCAGCATTCCCTAGCTCCCCTCCGGGGCTGAGGGATCTCCTGTCCCACCAGATCCCTACGTGAAGGTGTGGCTGATGTACAAGGACAAGCGGGTGGAGAAGAAGAAGACGGTGGTGATGAAGAGGTGCCTGAACCCCGTCTTCAACGAGTCCTTCGCCTTCGACATCCCCACGGAGCGGCTGCGCGAGACCACCATCGTCATCACCGTCATGGACAAGGACAGGCTGAGCCGCAATGATGTCATTGGCAAGGTGGGTGACACGCCTGAGGGACACCCAGCTGGGAATCGGGGACAGCCAGGCCCAGGCTGCCAGCGCCCGGTGCCATCTCCAGTGTGAAGCGTGGTGCAAACCCCTCGTGCTGGGTGTCACGGCCACAGAGGGCTGGAGCTCTCCCAGAAAGGCAGGGATGGAGGGATGGGAGTATGGGGAGCCACACCAAGATGGATCCCACCCCCTGGGATTACTCCCAGAGACAGGAGAGGTGGAATTATCCATGAAATCACCCAGCTCATCGTTAGCGCAGCGATGACAAATGAGCGGCATAATCTCCATCCATGATCCCCAAATGCCGTGCTGAGGTCGGGAGAACTCAGCAGCTGGGATAAATCCATTAAATAAATCCCCAGATCAGCGCCGCAGGCTGCTGAGCAGGGGCAGAGGGGGCAGCGTCCCCAGTGTGGGCACATCCAAGAGCCCCATTCCAGGGATGGACAGGCAGTGGCCATGATATCCCACTCTCCGTTAAAACCCCGCCGTGGCCTGAGGCTCGCTAATCACTTTTGATCTCGTAATTAGGAGCGAGCTCTGCTCCATCCCGGCTCTCCGGTGATGATCCGCGGAGCCGGAGCGGTGGCACCGGCTCCCCGAGGTGGCAGCAGCAGCAGCGAGAGCTGGCACACGCGCTTTTCCGCGGCGCCATATGGAAAATTGAGAGATAAAAATAGCCCGGCTCTGTGCCGAGCCGGAAAAGCGGGGCTGGAGCAGTTTGGGGGTGAAGGCGTCAGAGCCGGGCAGCGGGATGGGGATGGAGAAGCCGTGGTGGCTCCAGGGATGCGTTTCCCGCAGATTTACCTGTCCTGGAAGAGCGGTCCCGGCGAGGTGAAGCACTGGAAGGACATGATCGCCCGCCCGCGGCAGGCGGTGGCACAGTGGCACCAGCTGAAGGCCTGAGCGCCCCCGGACCGCGGGCTCGGGGTCCCCCTTCCCAGCTCCCAGCCCCTTCCCGCGGCGCTCCCGGCCAGGGACCGGCGGGACAGCGGCCTGGCTCGCGGGAACCCTGCGGGAGGACGGGGACGGAGCCCCCCCGAGCCCCCGGGTTCGCCTCTCCCTGGGGTGCGGGGGATGCGGAGCCGCCCCCAACCCCGGCCGAGGGGGTGCCAGAAGCGATGTCCCCCCATCCCTATTCCCACCACCGGGCAGGACTTCTGCGAGTGCTTCCAGCCCCGCTCCCGGAGCCCCTCGGCCCCTCCCCGGCCTCGCCCCCTCCCATTTCAGGGGGTCAGGCTGCGGGTGCAAGAGGGACCCTCCTCCCTCCCCGTTCAGCTCCATAAAACCTCTCGGAGCCGCCAGCGGAGCCACGGCGCCCCCCTGCCCCGCCCCCTCCCGCCGCGCCCCCTCGAGTCTCCCGGGGCTGGCGGGGGACACCGAGGGGAGGGGACAGCCCCTTTTCCTGGGATCGGAAGCCATGACACAGTTCCTTATCCAAAGCGGGCTCCTTCGTGCACTGCCTTCAGCCGGGTTCGATGCTTTACCTCCGTCTTGGGTTTCGGCGGGAGCGGGGGGTCCCTCAGCCGCCCTGGGGACCCCGGTCCTGCCTTCGCCCCCAGCCCGGGATGGAAGGGGCTCCTCGGGGGAATGCGGAGCTCCACAGGGTCCCCTTCCAGCCGGGCTGATCCGGGCGCCGGGGCTGCTCCGGGAGCTCCGTGCCCACCCCTGGGGATAAAGGGTGGAGCGAGCGCTGTTGTCCCCATCGAGGGCAGGTGACATTCCCTGGGCTGGTGGCATTCCTTGGGACAGCCAGCCTGGCAGGATCAGTGCCAGCAGCAGCATCCCCACGGAGCCCTGGGATGCACACGCCAGACCCCTTCCCACCCCCTGGGACCCCCAAAAACAGGGACAGACCTACCTGGGAGCCCCACAGGGGTGACAAGGGGGTCGGTGGTGGCTCTCCGTGGCAGACGCCAGATCATCCTCAGTCTTCCTGCTCCCCCCGTGGCAACCTTGGCTCCCAGCAGCTCCCACAGCCCCAATTTAGACGATTTTGGACAATCTGGAGAGAAGTCATAATACTGCTATTACAGTAATAACAACGCTTTTAGGGACATTTGTATTTTTGTCATATTCTCTCTTTTTTTAACATAAAAGAAGAGACTTACATGCCTGGGGAAGAGGTGGCAGGGCCAGGGCTGTGCCAAGCCGGGTGCCCCCCACGGCCCCTCGGGCACCCCGCTTTTCCAGGCTGGATTCCTCGTCCGCGGTCGGGCTCCCCGGGGGTTTGTGTGTTCATTTTTAACTCTAGAGCTCGTAGCCGTGATCTTGTTCAGGTTCTCTCTTCTTCATGTGACGGTAACATCCAACTGGTGTGTCGATGTAAGACAAACAGGAAAAAAAAATTAAAAAAAAAAAACAAAAAAAACAAAAAAAAAAAAAAAAAGGAAAAAAAAGATAAAAAATCCATTAAAGAGCCCGGCCTGGCCCGGCTGAGGAGCGGCTGGAGTGGGGGGTGCCCAGCTGGCGATGCCAAGGATGGGGCACACAGGTCGAGGCGTCTCCTTTGAAGAATCCTATTTTTGGGGAGAGGGGCCCCTCGTTTTCAGGAGGCAGCCCCTGCTCTCAGTAATAAAGGACAGTCAGTAACTGCCAGCGTGAGTCATCTGTGGGATTGGGGAAAGGGAGGGGGTGGATCCTGGGCTGGGAATGGGGGCACCACACCTGGGTGAGCACCACAGTTCAGTTGGGTGGGCATCCCCTTGGCACTAAGCATCCCCCTCCCACAGTGTTATCCCCCCCCAGCCCTGAGCATTCCCACAGTGTTATCCCATCCATCACTGAGTATCCCACCCAGACTCTGGGATCCTGCTAGGATTGGGATCCCCATGGGGGCTTCAGAAACAACAGTGATCCCCGCAGCCTACTTGGAGCCAAGTGAGTTCCCATCCCATCCAGGTCTGAGCTGAGTTCCTTGGCACGGGACAGGGACTGGAATGTGGCTCCAAAGAGAAGGAAGAGGCAGGGAACCATATCCTGTGTCCTGGTGCCATGGAAAAGGCGCTGGTGGCTGTTAAATAATTCACGGAATGCTGGTCTTGAATAAATAAATGAAACTCCAAACGCAGGGATGGCAGGAGGGCCATCCGTGTCCTCCCTGCACATGATAAGATCCCTCTGGATCCACCTTTCAGGCCCCGGGTTGCAGAGTTGGAGGTGGCAGCAGGGGACATTTTCCCCTTGCCACCTGCACCCTGGTGGAGGGGAGGTGGCTGCTGCCTACCCATGCTCCACCTCCAGCTGAGCCAAACCTGGGAATTTTGGCATTCCCAAGCTGCCAACAGCATTGGTGCCACCAATCCTGGCTCTGCCTGGGCTTTTACACCAACGCCGGGCTCCTTTTATCCTCCCAAATCTTTGAAAGCGCAGCCATCCCGGCGCTCCTGTTGCACGGATCCGCAGCGATTGCCGATCCCGTTGCTTTGTGCTGGCAGGCGGCAGGAGCAGATGGAAATAGCAGCGTGATCCCAGCTGCGGAGAGGCCACAAACCGTCGCACGCGGGGCCGGGAGAGGAGGCAGGGATATATATAGGGACAGACGTATGGATGATGCACTGCCGGCAGCGGGGACTCGCCGGTGCCAGCGGCCCCAAAATACTCGAGCGGAGCCGGAATCTGTCAGATTCCCACTGACTGCGGCAGCTCCTGGTCCTGGTGTCACCACCATCGTCACCGGTGCCTGGATCCCGACCCAGCTCCTTGGGAAAAGCTTGAGAAAAGGCTGCAGAGAGGGAGGACCCCTCTATCCCAGGTGTCAGAGCTCCTGGATCTGATCCCAGCCACGGGGACAGGCTGGTGGCATCCAGAGCCACCTGCATCCCGATTCCTGCCGAATGGGTGGGCTGGCAGGGATCTGCATGGAGCTGGTGGCATCAGATCTTGACTACATCAGGGGCTTGGAATGCTGAGGGTCTCTGCCAGGGTCAGCACCCTCGGGATCATGGATAATTCCTTGCTAATTAGCAAGAGCGTCTTCCCAGATAAAGCAGCAGCACCCTGGATGGGTGGCATGAAGGGCTGGGAGACACCCAGAATTCCAGGAGCGTGTTTCTGGGATGTCGTCGGACCCTGGGATGCTCTGCCTTACAGTGATGGGCACCTGGGTGGGAAAAGGGATTGACAGCCTGCACCTATTGGCAAGACCTGATTCAAAGCTCCCGCTAAGCCCCAAATCCCTGAAATCACCCCGGAGGAGCTGGCACCGACAGCTCCTGCACATCCCGCAGCCGAGGAAGTTCCACGCGTCCAAAATAGCCGTGGCTCCTGCTGCGGAATAGGAAGTGGCGGGAAAAGCCGGCAGCATCGGCCTGCAGTGCCGGAGCGGATGTGGCAGGAGCTCTGGCTGCCTCCCAGCCCCAAACCCAAATCCGTGGCCATTAAAAGCGGATGTGTGGTTTGAAACCTCCAGCGAGCTGCAGACCTCGGATCCCCAAGCTTTCCACCACACAGGTTCAGCTCAGAGACGGACGGAGGGAATCAGGATTGCTTGGATGTCCAAAATAAGAGGAGCCGGTGGTTGCACACCAGGATATGTCACTTGGTTTTAGGGGATCCCAAATAAACCCTTCCCTGAGGCTGGTCCCCACCACTTTTCTCTCACAACAAATTCCTTGGATTTGTGCTTTTTATTGCACGCGTTTGGTCCAAGAGGCACTTGGAGAGAGGAAGAGGAAGGATAAGGTGTCAGCCCTGGATCTGGTGCCCGTTTTGGGACAGACAGTGCCAGGGATGAGCCTGCTCTTCCCACAGAGGCAAAACCCTGTCCAGGTTGGAGAGAGGCAGTGCTTTGATCCAGGTGGAATTTCCATCGGCTCCTTCCCAAACCTGATGGTCAGGAGGAGCCTGGTGGAAAATTCTCTGTCCCAGCCCAATTCCCGCAGTAGGATGGGGTTCTCAGGGTCTGTGCCTTTGTTCCCAAACCTCAGAGCTCTCTAGGATGATGGGATCCATGGAATGGATGCAACTAGTATTGTTTTTTCCTATCCTGCCCATTGGGATAGAAGTAAAGGATTTTCAGAGGTGGAGGAGTGGAAATGTCCTCGTTCTCGTGGGGTGGCAGTGTGGGATCACCCCTCAGGGAGGGGGCTGTATCCCAGTCCAAGGCACCCAGGAGGAGGCGGGATGCTCTCAGGTGGGATAACCATTGGGATCCGTGAGCCCTGCCAATCCAGGACACAACGGTGCCGTCCCAACGGGCTAAGGCTGATCCTCAGACTGTTGGTTTTTCTTTGTGGAGGCTGTGAACTTCCTCCTTTCCCGGCCCTAGATGGGAATTCCCTGGGAGTCAGGTGGAGGCTCTGCACCCCCTCAGGGGGACAGCGGCTCACGTTTCCTCAGGCGATCCCGTCAGGGCCGCAATTTCCCCCTCCCCATCCTCCGGCCCATCCTCGGGGGATACCGGGGCGGCCTCCGTGCCCTCCTCCTCCTCCTCCTCCTGGCGCTGCAGGCTCTGCAGCCGCTCCTGCCGCGCTTCCATGTATTCCTGCGCCCCGTCCCCCACCAGCTGCACTTCATCCCCGACACAGGGCGGCTGCCGGACGGGATTGTGGTCGTAGGACAGGAGGCGCAGGGAAGCGAGGCCGCTGAGGTCCGGGAAGCTGGCGATGCGGTTGCGATCCAGGTCGAGGACGCGGATGCGATCCATGCGCAGCAGCACGGGCGGGAACTCCTGGAAGCGGTTCCCGTAGAGCCAGAGCCCCCGCAGGCCGGCCATGCGGGGCAGCGCCGCGGGCAGCCGGCACAGCCGGTTGTCCCCCAGCTGCAGGCTGCGCAGCTCCGGCAGCTGCAGGAGGGCGCGGGGGAAGTGCGCCAAGAAGTTTCCCTCGATCCAGAGGCAGCGCAGGCTCTGGAGCTGGGCGAAGGAGGGCGGCAGCCCCTGCAGCCCGTTGCGGCCCAGGTACAGGTGCGCCAGGTGGGGCAGGTCGCACACGGCCTCGGGCACCTCCATCAGCTCGTTGCCGTCCAGGGCGAGGGTCCGCAGGTGCTGCAGCTCCGCCAGCTCGTCCGGGACCTCCCGCAGCCCCGCGTCGCTCAGGTAGAGCTTCCGCAGCCCCTGCTGAGCCCACAGCTCGGCCGGGACCTGCCGGCCCCGCACCTCCAGCCGCTGCTCGACGCCGTCGGGGCCCTCGGCGGCCGCCAGCCGNNNNACGGGGGGGGCGGGAGGGCGACGCCGTGGCCATGGCAACGAGCCGCGGCCAATGGGAGCCCGCGCCACCGGGGCACAGGCCCCGCCCCGCAGCTCGCGCCCATTTGGGCCACGCCCACCAATTCCATTCATGCCCCGCCCCGCCGTTCCCACGCCTACCCGGCCCCATTGCCGTCCCGCGTGTCCCGGCTCTGTCCCCAAACCAGGCAGGGCCCCCTCGCACCCCAGCATTCCCAGCCACTCTTCCAGCAGCCTGGCACCAGCGTCCTCACCCTGAACTCGGTGCAAGGCCCTAAATTGAGTGTGGGGTCCCTGGGCTGGGTGGGAATCCCTGACTGGCAGGAGGGGCTCCCTGAGCTGTGTGTGGATGCCTTGACTGGGTGGGGGTCCCTAAACTGGTGGGGAGCCCCTCTGTGATTCCTCACATCCCCTGGGACCCTGCCGGGAGCCACTCCCTGGGGCACAGATCCCATTCCCCATGGCCAGGGAAGATATGGACGAAGCCTCTCCAAGTGCCTCCCCGTGCCATGGCTGCCCACCATGCGGGGTCCTTCCTCCTCCTCATCCTCCTGCTTCCCACCACAGCCCTGCCCAGATTTTCCTGCCGCAAATCAGCTGTGTCATCCCAAAGCCGGCTCGGAAAGCTGGAAAGCCGGGCTCGTACAGCCCTCCAGCGGCAGCTAGCCAGGCGACACCCCCTGAGCACCCAAACCCCTCCTGCCAAGCTTTTGGGATGCAGGAAACCCCCAAAATGAGGGAGCAACCCCATGGCATCACGCAGGGTCTTTATTCCTCCTACGGGGATTTGGGAAAAGCCGAGGATGGGATTCCCAGGACGCAGCAGCACTTTTTGGGGGGTCACGTCAGGGGGTCATCGATGCGCCACAGGATGGTGGGGCGGTTGTTGGTGCTGAAGCCACTGGGACTCGGGATCTGGATGCCCTCCACAGATCTCGGGGCCCAGGTGATTGGAGGCTGTGCCCACCAGCCTGGAAAATCCAGGAGGGATTGGTGAGGGGAGTGCCCACTCCTCCTGGGGGCTGCAATCCCCCCACAAACTCACCTGGTGCTACGGGGGCCAGCGGCGAGAGCTTGTTCAGGAACTTGTTGTGGACAGTGCTGTATGCCAGTGGCTTCTGTGGGATGCAGCGGGTCGGGAACGTGCTTCCTTGGGAAAAGGGATGGGCACAGGGGACATGGCTGGGCTGCACCCACCTTCACGGCAATGACTCCCCTGGGTCCCACTCGGAGCTCCGGGGGGGCGAAGGGGGCAGGCTGGCCCATGGCAGGCTGGGGGTGTGGGGGGACACAGGGATGAGATCCTGCTCATTCCCATGCCCAGGCAGCTCCCAGGGCCGCCTCAGAGCCCACTGGGAGCACGGGGATAGAGTGTCCCCTGCCCTCGCCACCCCGTCCCTTTGCTTACAGTGCTGCCAGGGAAGGAATCCATCCGACCACCACCGACACCAAGCTGTGGGATAGGAAAAGTGTCCCCTGGGGTGCTGAGGGGCGGGGGCACAGGGGACACGGTGGGGATGGGGCTCACGGGCTGCTCTGGCAGGGTGAGGTCACTCCTCGGGGCGGTCCCGGTGCAGCCCGACAGCTCCGTTACCCTCGCTGGGACATCTGTGGGAAGCAGACGGAGCAGGGATGTCCCCCGTGTCCTCAGGCCTGGCATTATTACCTGGATGCACCTGTCCCACTGTGTCTGAGGGGGGCAGGGGGTCTCCAATACTCCCAAAACCTCCTGAGGTCTGACCTGGCACCAGGAACACTGACATCCCAAAATCCCTAGAGTGGGATGTGGCTCTGGGACCATCATTAATCCCAAAACCTTCCTGATGTTGGAGCTGGACCTGGAACCCCCAGGGCCTCAAACCCTCCTGCAGATGGAGGTTTCCCAGGAATCCTAACACCCCAAAATCCTCTTAAGGACTGAGCTTTCCCTGGGATAACCAAGACCCCAAAATCTCCTGGGAATAGAGCTTTCCCTGGGATCTCAACACCCCAAAACCCCTCCCACTAAGGCTGGAGCTTTCCCTGGGATTCCCAAGACCCCAAAACAATACCTGGCTTGGCAGGACTGGCACAGTGGCTCTGGGTGCCGTATTCCCCGGATGCTTTCGGGGCTTTCACCTCCCCGAAACGGAGGCGGGAAAAGGAGAAGCCGGTGGGATATGGACACTGCGGCTCATCCACATGCTCGGGCAACATCCTTTGGTAATCCGGGCGCCCGAAGACCTTGAAGTCCTCGGAGGTGGTGGACACGTCGGTGTCGTGGCTGTGGTGGGAACGGCTGTGACGGAGCGATCCCAAAACGTGCCCCCCAAACTCCTGGAGCGGGGACCTACCGCTCCACGTGCGGGGAGATCAGGGATCTGAGCGATGAGTAGTTGTTGACCACGTATCCCGAGCCGGTGTGGACGCCGAGGAGGGGCCGGATGCTCCCGTCACCGGGGGGCTCGATCCCCGAAACGCGCCCTTCCTTCAGCTTTTGGGGTGTCCCCGTGGGCCTCTTCCCGAAGGCCGCCTGGTAGGTGGTGACGTAGAAATCCCTGAGCTCGGAGGGGGGGCCCCTCACCATGGGGAACCCCGTCCCCAATCCCGAGGCGGGCGAGTCCTGCGGCAGGGACGGCATCCTGGCTCTGGGAATGGGCCCCTGGCGGCGGGAATGGCCCGAGGCACGGCGCTACGCCATGGCTGGAGGTGCACTGGAGGTGCGGGGCCTTCCCAGCAGGCCCGGAAGCTGGAATGTGCCCGTGGAACGCGACTCTGTCTCCTGGTAACCGCGACAACGGGGACCTCCCGGGTCGGACAACCTCCCTGGCTGTCCCTGGAGGGCACCGGGAATGTCCCGCTCCAGCCCCCGCCCCGGGGTGGGGTCACCTCCTGGGGGTCCTGGGAAAAGGGGAAGGTGGGAATTGGGAATGTCAGTGAGGTGGCATGTGGCAGATTGAGCTGGGAATGTCACCGAGGGCCCGACCCCGATGTCACAAAGCAGGAGAGGGGCAAGGCCAGCAGCCAAACAAGGCCGGTAGCCAGGGCTTTATTCAGCATTCCACAAGTGTCCAGAGGCTGCTGGGAGAGGAGGAAAACCATAGGGAAGGTGGAAACGCCAGTCCAGAGCCCCATGTCCCTGCGCTACTCCAGGGAACGGGGACAGAGGCGTCCCCTCCCTCAGCGCGGTGGCTCAAACAGATATTCCAGGTCCGGCTGCCGGAGCCTCTGCTCCCTGTTCCTGTTTTTGGCAAATTCCCTCAGCATGGCCATCACGTCGGTGTCGAATTCCGCCGGCGCGGGCTTGGCTTCTGAGGGGAAAAGAGGGAACCATCAGCTGAGCGCTGTCCCCAGGTGTCCCCAGGCGCCGTGCCCGTGTCCCAGGGCGTGGCCACACGTACCGGTGGCCCAGTAATAAATGTCCCAGTCGTTGCTGGGCTCGTTGATGAGGCGGTCGTAGCGGTTCAGCTGCTCCTCGCTCATGCGCGCCAGGTTTTCCTTGGCAAAGAGGCTGGAGAGGGATGGATCAGGATGGGCGGGAGATGAAGGAAGAGCTGGGGTCTAAGAACCGGCTCAATGGGATCCTGGAAAACACGGACCCCCCCAGCCTGCTCTCCCTCACCTCAGAGGGTGGGAAAACACCTGCGCAGCATTCCCAGAGAAGCTCTGGAATCTCCACCCCTGGAATCCCATTATCCAGCCTGGTCTGCTGGAAGGTGTCCCTGCCCATGGCAGGGGGTGAAACTGGATGACCCTTAAGTCCCTTCCATCCCAAACCATTCCAGGATTCCATGTGCTCGTTCACATGAGATATTGGGAAGGGATTCTTTCCTAGGAGGGTGCTGAGGTCCTGGAATGGATTTCCCAGAGGAGCTGTGGCTGCCCCATCCCTGGAAATGTCCAAGCCAGATCAGATAGGGCTTGGAGCAACCTGGGATAGGGAAAGGTTTCCTTAAGGTCCTTCCCCACCCAAATCATTCCAGAATTCCACAATTTTATGTCTCCAATCTCTCCTTCAATCCCAAAATCCAACCGGCCTTGCGCTCACATGTCCCAGGATTTACATACATCCTTCCCAAAGGATTTTGGCTCACTGAGCTCACCCAGCTCTACTCCAGCACTGGATCCTGAAACAGCAAGATCTTGGAGCAACTAATCCCACAGATTTTTGCACTACCTCAATAATCTCTTCCCTGTTACTGAAAGGACCTGGAATCCTCAGAGCCAAGCCCACCTGAGCAGGATGCAGTTTTCCAGCATCCCCCTTTTCCTGCTCTCGTACAGCAGCCGGGCTCTCTTGGTGTCCAGTGGCTCGTCCGGACGCTCCTGCCAGGGGGGCAGCGGGATCTCCAGCACGTCCTTCCCGGAATCCGTGGGGGAATCCCCCCGGTAGCCGCGCTGCTGCGGGATCAGCGGCCACACGAGATGCCGGCGCAGGAAGCAGAGCTGGAGGGAACAGGGAAAGCACAGGGATATCAGGCCTGGGACTGCCTGCACACAGGGACCTCCCCAAATCCTACTGGACACGATTCCCAACCCCAGCCCCCCCAAACCCTGCTGCCCAGAACCCATAAGTCCCCCAGGTCTCCATTTTCCCCAAAAAATCTCCTTTCGTCTGCTCAGACTCTCCACCTTTTTTTATCTCCTCTTTTCCTCCCATCCTGCCTCTCCCCCAAACTCACCCCTTTCCCCTCCTTCTCCTTCCCCCTCTCTCCCCGTTTTTCCCCCTTTCCCTCCCTTTCCCCCCGTTTTTCCCCTTTCCCACTTTCCCTTTCTTTTCCCCCCTTTCCCAACATTTTTTCCTTCTCCTTCCCCGTTTTACCTTTTCCCTGCCATTTTAACCTGCTTTTCCCACTCTCCCTCCTTCCTCTGCCCTTTTACCCCCTTCCCTCCCCTTCCCTTCCCTTCCCTTCCCTTCCCTTCCCTTTGCCCTCCCAGTTTTCCCCCCTTCCCCCCCCCAACCCTGGCCGCCGCCATCTTGCCGCGCGCCGCCCCGGTCACGCCCCCTCCCGGCTGTATGGGGCGGGGCGTGCCGGAAGTGGGCGTGGCCACGCCCGGAAGTGGAAAATTGGGAAGTTTGGGGGAATTTGGGGGGAAACAGGGAATTGGGGGGGAAGACAGGATATGGAAGGACGGGAGGATTTAGGGGGGACACGGGATTTGGAGGGAAATGGGATTTGGGGGGGGCACAGGGGTTTGGGGAGCAGAGGGGATTCAGGGGGACACCGGGATTTAGGGGGGACATGGGATTTGGGGGGACACAGGGATTTAGAGGGCAGAGGGGATTTGGGGGGCAGAGGGGATTTAGGGGGCAGAGGGGATTTAGGGGGCACAGGTATTTGGAGGGAAGAGGGCATTTAGAGGGACTGGGGTGAGGAAGTGGGATTCGGGGCACGCAGGGATTTGGGGGGACGCCCCCCGCGGGTCCCCAGGGCCTCACTGACCCCCCCATTCCCAGAGCACCTTCCGTGTCCTGGCTCCGCCCGGTCCCAGCCCGGGCTCCCGCTTTTCCCGCCTCTGGAAATATGTCCGAGGGAGTGGATCTGATTGACATCTACGCCGACGAGGAGTTCACCCAGGTGAGGGCCGGGATGGGGGTGCAGATCCCCCCCCTTTCCTTTGGGGAAGAGATCCCAGTGTCCTGCAGCTCATCCCGGTGGAAGATGCAACTGGTGTGGCTGGGGAAAGGGAAGCATCATTCCCGATCATTCCCAGATCTCAGTGGCTGCCACCTCCGGCTGCGATTAAAGGGTTTCCCTGTGGGTTGCGACACGTGGCTGGTCACGGAATGTTTGGGATTTAAGAGCTTAGCTGTGTCCTGCTTGGAAAAATGAGAAATCCCAGCTGGAAGAGGCACTTCCAGGGAATTACACATTGAGGGGATACCAGGAGCCAAATCCATGGGATCACCCAGGCTGGGAATCTGTGCAGGAGCTCGCTGTTCCTGTGCTGCTTGTCCCATCCCAGGAATATCTGGGATTCACAGGAGGAAATGATGAAGGAAGGGGGTTTTGGAGAAGCAGATTTTAGGGAGTTCATGGATATGGGAAAGCAAGTGCGAAGGCAGATGTTGGAAAATTCTAAACTGCCATGGAAAGCTTGTGGAGAGAAGTTGGCAAGAGGAAAAGTCATGGAAACTGGAAGCAAAGCACCCGGAGGAAGGAATCACCATGGAGAAAGGAATTCTTGTGAACTCCTGCGGTGATCAAGAGAAGCTTCTTCTGGTTATTGGGTGGGAATATCCCATGGACTCTCCTGGGAAGACCAAGTGGATGGAGGATTCTCAAAGCTGGAATGGTGATCCAGGCCAATGACTCTGGCATGTTCTTCCCTTTGGGATGTGTGGCAGGAGAACACCTGGAATTCATCCATGCCAGGATCAAAGTAGTGTGGGGGCGGAGGTGCTGTGGTGTCCCTGTGGCACTCCAGGGATGCCAGTGTAATTCCAAATCCCACTTTTCCACGTGGTGATTCCCACTAACAATGCCCGGCTTCATCCCTGTGCACCTCAACTCAGTGTGCATGGATGGGATGCAGGAGAATCCCTAAAATTTCCCAAGCTGAATCCCCTAAGTAGCAGAACTGAGGGATTCCTAGGGATTCCTCCTCTAGCCCCTCCTTCCTATTTTTGGTCTTGACTTTCTGAAACTTCCAGGCGGGAATCTTCCAGCCTTGGGCTGTGTCCAAAGGCTCCTGGTGGAGGTGGGAGCGTGGGAGTTGGATTAACCAAACACTTGAGCTTTTTTGGGAAGTGAACACAAAACTACAGCTCCCTTTTCAAATCATTCTTTTATCAGCTCCAGGGAAAGAGCTGGATGCAAAAGCTCAGGGAAGGGGGAAATGGTTGGATTTTTGGATTCCCAGGTTTCCACAATCCTTGGAAAGCTGTGTGCTGAGCATCCTTCTCTGTCCAGCTCCCAAGAGGATGTTTGCAATTCCCTGACCCTCAGACTGTCTCCAGCAGAAAACATTGTCCAAACTGCCTGGAATTGAAAATTTGGGAGCAGAACCTCTGGTTTTTATGGCACACCAGCTCCTGTGGGATGGATCCTCATGGAGTGATTTTGTGGGATGAAACACTCGGCACAATCTGAACAAGGAACTGGGATCCATAGTAAACACAGCACTTGCTGGACATTCCAAATGAAATATCACCTGGGACAGAGTGGGAATTGGGAGGCAGATCTAGGACACACTGGAATTCCCAGCTCTGAAGTTTCCTGAGCTTCCTCTGCCCAAGGGACAGATCCAATGTGTAGGAGCTCCTGCCCTAAAAAGGGCTGTTTTCCCAAAAATGAGGAAGTTTGGGGTGATGAGCATGGTTTGAGGGGGGTGTGCAATTCCCAAGTTGGATTTTTGGGACGCATGTGTTGCCAAGGAGTGATAGGCTCATCCTTGGAGGGCGTTTGGTTTTCCACCACTGAATTCTTGCCCTCCAAATTGGGAATTTCTTCCTGGTGGCAGCAACAGGCTCTTGTCCTGTTGTGTGGGATCCAAGTGGGCTGGTCCTTGGAATGTGCTGGAGCTCACTGGGGGTTTAGATGAGATATTGGGAAGAATTTCTTCCCTGTGAGGATGGTGAGGCCCTGGAATAGATTTCCAGGGAAACTGTGGCTGCTCCTTCCCTGGAAGTGTTCCAGGTCAGGTTGGACAGGGCTTGGAGCAACCTGGGATAGTGGAAGGTGTGCCATGGCAGGGGATGGGATGGGATGATCCTTAAGGTCCTTATTCCAACCCCAACCATTCCATGATTCCATGAAATCAGAGCCCATCATCCTGTTTTTTGGGATTGCCCAGGCAAGGGGTGGCTGTAATTCCCAACTGTGCCTAGACCCAAACCAAGTGATTTGGGCCTTAAACCTTTGGACTCGGCTTGGAAATTCCACTTGGGAATTGGGACAGCAGGTTTGGAAACAGCAAAGAAGGCTTCCCAAGCCAGGATCTCATGACGTTTTCCCAGCAGGACCCGGAGTTCAGTAATGCTGACCAGATGGATCTCTACGACGACGTGTTAGCAGCCAGCTCCCAGCCCCAGGAAAAGCGTTCCAGCAGCTCGGAAGCGCCTCCGGAGATCCGTCAGGAGCCGTCTCCCAAGCCCAACAGCAAACCCCCAGCCATCCTGTACACCTACAGCGGGCTCCGGAACAAGAGGGCCGCCGTCTACGTCGGGAGCTTCTCCTGGGTGAGTTCATCTTCCTGGGAAATTCAGGATTCCTGGGGAACCTCTGAGGGGCTGCTGGGCTCTCTAGGGGAGTGGCAGGGATTTTGAGGGGCCTGCTCCTCCTCAATCCTGAGCAATTGTCCTGAGCTTTATTGTGAACTGGGATTGGCTTTGTGATCCTCAGGGGAAAGGGATTTGTATCCCTGAGGAGCTTCTGGGCTTTGAGGTGGCGCTCCTGAGTTGCCTTCTCCTGTTCAGGGATGCAGGAACAGTTTTGGGAGGGCTTGTCCAGAGAACTTGTCACTGTTACCCATTCCCAAGGCTTGTTCCGGATGACTTTAAGCTCCCCGACGAAGTCTGGGGGTGACATTCCTCAGGTGGGTGGGGGTACACTGGGGACAGACGTGGATACCAGCCTGTTCCCTGTGCCCTCAGTGGACGACTGACCAGCAGCTGATCCAGGCCATCCGCTCCATTGGAGTCTACGACGTGGTGGAGCTGAAATTCGCGGAGAACCGAGCCAATGGCCAATCCAAGGGGTGAGAGCCAATGGAATTTCGGGTGGGAATGATGGGAGCCAGGCCCTCATTGCCACATCCATTGTTTTGTGGAGGGTGAGGGAGCAGCTGGCACTTTCCCTGCGTGGGACAGGGAATTCATGGAGCATCCCAAAGAGCATGGAAAAGCGGGGAGGGGGTGTGGAACAGTGGGATGGGATCAGGAGGAAGGTCTGGGGGAGGTCTCTGCAGCGGGTTCAGGGCTCAACCTCCCTCTCTCCCGCGCAGGTACGCGGAGGTGGTGGTCGCCTCCGAGAACTCAGTCCATAAACTCCTGGAGCTGCTTCCCGGAAAGATCCTGAACGGAGACAAGGTGGAGGTGAGGCTGGCGACCCGGCAGAACCTGTCGCAGTTCGAGGCTCAGGCTCGCAAACGTGAGTGCGGCGCCGGTGTGAGGCGGGCGGGGGGTTCCATCTCACACACATCCCAAATCCCCCCCAGATCAGCTGCCAGGCCCAGCCCAGCGAGCCCTCGGGATGGGGGGAAACCCTGCCAGGAGCGTCTGGGGGTTGTTTTTCCCATTCCTGAGCCGGATTAGCTCCTGACCCGAGTCTTTATGATCCCCTTTTAGGTGCTCCCACACTGCGAAGATCCCTCGTAGCCTCCTCCTCCTCCTCTCCAAACTGAATGGGCTTAAGCTCTTCAGGCTCTCAGCATAGCTAAGACCCTCCATATCTATTAGTAGCTCCTCTCTGGATCTGCTCCAGAATTTTTCCATCCCTGCGGAGGTAAGGTGCCCAACACTGGAGGAATATTCCAGCTGGGGCCTGGCCGTGGGCATCCCTCAATGGCAATAGGTGGTCCTGGCCTCACTCCGCAGCGATGCGACGGGATCCGCAGGGATTGTCCCGGCAGGAGCGTGTCCGAGGAGGTCTTGGCCAGCTCTGGTCGTTGTAGATCCCTTGGCATGTTTTGTGCAAGGAAAAGTCTCCCTTCCCAGCAGAGTTGCTTCGCTCCCTTCCTTTGGCTCAGGTGCCCGAGGGGATCGGCTGCTTGGTGCTTAGGCTGTGTCCCGACTTGCCCTGCAGTTTTGGTGGAGCAGGGAGTGTTCCCTGGGCTGAGTTCCGGCTGCCCGCAGGGCACAGCGGAGCTCCCGTGCACCCTTTTTGGCACCCTGGGAGCCGTGGCTCCTGTCACACCCCTTCTGTCTCATCCTCGGTACCTCTTTGGATAGAGCAAGGCTTCTTGACCCTCTTGGAATGCTGAGTTTTCCTTCCTCTAGCAGCAGCTCCATTGCTGTCAGCACTTGGGTTCTGTCCCCACGTGTTCCTCCACGCTTGGGCCTCTCCAAAACCATGTGTGAATCTCAGGCTCTCCGGGTCTTTGGATCTTTGGGGATCTCTCACCATTCCTTGTGGCTTTTGGCTCCTGTCCCTCTGACCTGCCTGTCCCCAGGGCACTGTGCGGGGTCTTGCTGGAAAGCTGGGCCCCTCTTGGAAAAACACATGGAAGCAGAGGCTATGTGTGGCTGGCTGGATCTCTCTCTGGGCACCTCCAGCCCTCCAGGGGTGGGAGGAAGAGGAGGAGCAGGAGGTCTTGGAGACCCAGACACCCTCCAGCTGCACCTCACAGCTCTTTCCCCGTGCCACTTCCAGGTGTGCCGCCGCGGGCTCACTCCCGGGATTCCATGGATGCAGTGGATGGCCGGGCGACGCCGACAGAGAACGCGCTGCCCCCCGCCCGCATGGAGAAGCCCCCCTCGGTCCTGCCCTTCTTCAGCCGCCCCCCCGCGCTGCCCCTCATGGGGCTACCCCCGCCTCCCATGCCCCCTCCGCCTCCCCTCTCCTCCGCTTTCGGAGTCCCTCCGCCTCCTCCTGGAATTCCCTACCAGCACCTGCTGCCGCCGCCGCCCCGGCTGCCCCCGCCCCTGGCCGTGCCCCCGCCAGGGGCTGTGCCCCCCGCCCTGCACCTCAATCCCGCCTTCTTCCCGCCGCCCACCGCCGCCCTGGGACCCCCTCCGGATACCTACGGCAAGGCCATGGCTCCATACAACCACAGCAGGTGAGCCGGGCGGGAATGGGCTTGGGATGCCCGGGGAGGATCCCGCTGAACCCCTGTTCCCGCCGTGCCGACAGCCGGGAGCTGGGCCCGCCGATCCCGGCCGTGAGCGAAGGCGAGTTTGAGGAGATCATGAACCGCAACCGCGCCATCTCCAGCAGCGCCATTTCCAAGGCGGTGTCCGGCGCCAGCGCAGGTACTTCTCGTGTCCCTCGTGTCCCCCGTCCCGGGATGGATTCCCACTCCTGACCCCCTGCTCCGCTCCCCCAGGGGATTACAGCAACGCCATCGAGACGCTGCTCACGGCCATCGCTGTCATCAAGCAGTCGCGCGTGGCCGGCGACGAGCGGTGCCGCGTCCTCCTCTCTTCCCTCAAGGATTGCCTGCATGGAATTGAGGCCAAATCCTACAGCAGCAGCTCCAGCAGCAGCTCCAGGTATCCCCCTGGATCCAGAGAAGGGGATCCGCCCTGCAGGTGAGCGACTGAAAAATCACCCTTTGGGTTCTGTCTCCTCTTTCTCCAAAGGAAAAGACACCGATCCCGGGAGCGCTCTCCCAGCCGGTCCCGCGAGAGCAGCCGGCGGCACCGGGATCTGCTCCACAGCGACGATCGGCACGAGGATTATTTCCCGGAGCGGAGCCGGGAGCACGAGCGGCATCGGGACAGGGACAGAGACAGGGACCGGCACCACTGAGACAGGTGGGAGGCTCGGGAATCCCCTGGAAGCGTGAGGGATGAGGGAAGGGCACTCCCACCATTCCTCTCCTCTCTCCCGACAGGAATTTGGCAGGAAGTGGTTTTTAATGGACTCTATCTCCTCACCTCGACCAGGATGCCGTGCCCGAGGCTGCTCCGCCCCATCCCGGTCCCTTCCTGGCCACCACAGCCCCCTCCGGGCGGGACCCCCGCCCGCACCTCGTGGCCTTGGGAATCCCCCCCACCACTGCTGCTGCTTCCTGGGGCCATCCCGCTCCGCTCCGTGGATATTCGGACCCAAAGAGAAATGGTGCTTTTATCCCATGGAGGGAGGTTTGTGAGTCCTTCCCAGTCCGGGGGGGAAGCGGAGGAGACGGAGCCCTCCCTGTGCAGCCTGGGGGCTTGGAGATGCACAGCTCCCGATCCTGGGATCAGGAGCCGCGTGCCATCCTCTGCATTGCCTGGGGACACTCGCGTCCCCATCGCCCTGGTGGGACACTGTGCCACACTCCTCCTTTGCCCCTTCACCCTCCAGGAGCTGGGAAAAAGGGGCTGGAGCTGGGTTGGGGGTCATCCTCTCTACCCTGACATTCCCCACAGCAGCATTCCCACCCAAACGGCAGCTCCGGCCTCTCCCGCAGAGCCTTCCTTGTTTTAGAGGAAGCGGAAGAGGCAGGGCAGGCTGTGACCCCCTTGTGTCCCCTCAGAATCCCAAGAAGGAGAGGGAGGGAGGGAGAGCCCAGGAGGGTCAGTATGAGCCGGGACACACTGGGTGACTTTCAGGGCTGGAATCACACTCAAGTGGGAAAACCCAGGCCCTGGAAGTCTTTTTAAGTTGAAATAACCCAAATTCAGGAAAAACCACCCCGATTTTCCCAAGCCCCACGAGGTGGGAGCACTCGGCGGGAGAGCTCCGGGTTTTTTTTTTACTTACCGCCACAGATTTTTAGTTTCTTTCCAAATAGTGGAGGGGGGAAAAGATTCCCCCATAAATTGCAGAGCAAATCCCTGGAAGCCCCGGCGAGGCGCCGCCCCTCCTGCTCGCAGTGATTAGATTTGTCTTTGGATAGGTTGGAATTGTGTAATAAACTCAGATGACGTTGTCAGTCTTTTACACAGCGCTCCTGTTGCCTTCCTACGGTGGGATTTGGGATAATGAGGGAATGGGAGGGATTTGGGGAGGTCTGTGCACCCCTTGTCCCTCACCCTCTTCCTCCTCCAATGGGCTCCTGTGCTTCCCAAACTGGCTCTGAGGTGCTGGAAGCACCTGAGCATTCCCAGGGGGACCCACATTCCTGGGCACCAAGTAAAAATAAATATTTATTGGAAAATAGTGAATTATTCTGGAAGATCATGGAAACTAAAAAGAGGATTCTTCATACCTTGAGCTGGCTCAAGCTCTGAGGAGTCCGAGTGGATTGGAGAGTGGGAAAGGTGGGAGGGATATGCCAGGGGGCAGTGAGTGAAGTGGGAAAAGGGAGGGATGAATCCCTGTGGCAGCAGGTCCCTGGTGAAGTGGGAAGCAGGAAAAATCAGAGGGATGTGTCCACATAGAAGCAACAAAGACGGGAGGGATGTGTCCAGGTGGCACCAGGTGAAATGGGCAGTGGGAAAGGTGAGATCCTCCCCCTTCCCGGGGCTGGGGAGTGGAGCCGGCACGGGTGATGCTTCCCTGTGTCCCTGGGCCGTGTCCTCAGTAGGGATCCGCGCTGTGGAAAAGGACAGAGACGGGGATGTGTGGGTGCCAAACCAACCTGGCAGCTCCCGCGCCAGCTCCCTCAGTTCCTGGGATGCAGCACCTGGAGAAGGAGAGCAGCGCCAGGAAGCCCAGAAGCAGCTCCAGGCCGTAGAAGAGGAGCAGGATGGCGCTCAGGAACGCTTCCAGGCGCAGGGAATATGTCTGGAGCAGCAGGTAGTACACGGCCAGCACAGCTGCCGGCACCGTAAGTGCCAGGCTGAGGGACAGCGGCACCTTCCGCTGGCACAGGTTCCCCTTGGAGCCTGTGGGACACAGAGCTGGGATCAGATCATGGAAATCATAGGAGGGTTTTGAATGGGGAATTAAATGTCCGGTTCCCGTGGGCAGGGACACCTTCCTCTAGCCCAGGCTGCTGCATGCCCTGCCCAACCTGAACATCCAGGGATGGTCTTCGGGGTGTCCCAGGACTCTGCACTCCCTGTGGAGCCTCTGGCATTCAGGGCCACTCACCGAAGAAGATGCGTGTGGCCTCAATGCCGAGGTACAGGAGGAGCAGAACCACATCCAGCACCAAGTTGGAGACGGGATAGGGCAGGAGCAGCACTGCAGGAAGAGCACCGCCCTCAGCACCACATTCCTGCCCGTCCCGGCGGGATCGGGAAGAGTGCTGGAGCGAAGGACTCACCTTTGTACACGAACACGAACGCTTCCAGGAGAAAATATGTGGCGCAGTACCAGCCGTTGAGGAAGAGCAGGACCTGCAGCGGAGCCGAGGAGCGATGGTGGCGGCCTGAGGGGACATGGGGCGGCCATGAGGGGGGAGCACGGGGCGGCCGTGGCAGCGCGGCCCCCGGAGCCCTGCAGCGCCTTGGCCGTCCCCCTGCCTCCTTCCCAGCGCCGCTCCCAGCCCAGGTTCGTCCCGGTACCGCCCGTACCCTCCGGGATCCCCCGTTTCCCCCCCGGTCCCGCTCCCACCCCTGGGCGCCATCTTCCATCTCCATGGGAACCGCCGCCGCCGCGCTCGCCCGCACGGGGGCGCCGAGGGCGAGGGCGCGGAGCGTGAGGGCGGAGCCGCTCTATCTCCCGCCTCTCTCGGTGGTTTGGCCGCGCGCGCGCTGCCGCTCTACCCGCACCTCTCTATGGCTGGAGGACCGATGGCTGCCGCGCGGGTTCGAGTCCCCCCTCCTTCCTAACCCCGCCCCCTCGAATCCATTGGGAGCAGAATCCCACACCGGAACCGGGAACGTCCCCGTCTTGCGGCTGCAAGCGCAGCACCGAGCTGGGTTACAGTGTAAGGAGTGCAGCCGTGACAGCGGGTGGGCACAAACACCCGGCAGCCTCTGGAAAACACATCGGATTTATTCCTCTAGGGTTTCCAAAAACATTCCAGTCCCAACCGAGGCCGCGGCCCTGAAACGCAGGGACACCCCACGAGCCTCCCGATGACTCCCAAAATCCCAAGGGCTGGTCCCCAGAGAAAGGATGAGCCGGAACCGACCCCGACAGAGCCGGTGGAGTGCAAGGAGACTCCCGGGGATCCATCAGCCACGGAAGTGGGCAAATTCCTTGCGGAGCCAGAGTGAATCCTGGTAGAAGAGGGGGTCTCCCAGGTGCACAGCTGTCCGCTTGTAGAAGTAGCAGTAAAGCACGGCCGCTGCAGGGAATTTCGGGATGAGAGAGGGCCCCCAGCACCCCCAAAGGATGTGGGATCCCACCCTGATCCTTGGAGTCCTTACCCAGCCTCTGGAAAACGAACAGGGTCTGAAGGCCTTCAGTCCAGATGAAGCGGCTGGAGTCACGCCAGCGCAGGTTCTGAGGGGGTTGGAAAACTGGGAATAAACCCTGGAGCAGCTTTGTTGAGCCCTCCCAGACCCCCCACCCCATTCCAAAGGTTCTGAGCAGGATGGAGGGACATCAAGCCAGGAGTTACACCTGCAAAGTTTGGGAAGCTCCCTACCCCAAAGATTAAGCAGCTCAGGGGATTTAGGCATTGAGCCCAGACCAATTCCGGCTTCAGACTGCAGATCCCTGCAAATCCCTGCAAATCCCCTTCCTGGACGGCGTGGGCAGCACCAGAGCAGCTGCTATGGCTCCTGACCCCCCAAAACATTCCCTGTGTTCCGGGGCAGCAGGATGGAGGGAACTTCAGGAGGTGTCCAGGGGATGGGAACTGCTCCATTGGGAAGGAGCTAGGAAGGAGTTTATTCAGGAAAGAAAAGGGGAAGGTGCTGTTGGGACAGATCCAGGATCCTGCACAGCCCTTGGAGCTCTGGGAAGGGAGGGGACAGCCCCCAGGTATAGGGATTAATCCCAGAAAAACCAGGAGCTGCTAGCTTTCCCTGGGGAAAGAGGATTTTCTGATGGGTCACGGCCCTTAGGGAACGAGCTGGGGTTGGGCAGGACCCTTCCAGGCTGATGCCACCCACAGGGTCATGGAATGGGACATCCTCCATGGGACACCTTCCAGGGGGAGACCACGAGAAAGCACTGTGGGAAGCTGGGGGGTCACGGAAAAACCCCTTGGGAGAATCCAGCAGCTGTGCCCACGGCATCCTACCATAATCCAGACGTGGAAGGAGATGCTGAGCGCCAGGTAGGCTGCGGAGAGCAGGATGGTTCCCTTGAATTTATGGAAGAGGAGGTTGACCAAGCCCGCCTGGAAAACGTAGGTGTTGAAGAACATGAGGAAGACGATGATGACGTTGAAGACGATGGCGATGTCCTGGATGCTGCCGGGAGAACAGAGGGACTGTGGGCTCCAGGCTGTCCTGGCTGCGCCGCCCCGCCTCGCCCGTACTCACATGAAGAGGACGAGCTGCACGGCCGGAGCCGTGCGCAGCAGCTCCGAGAAGGAATTCACAAAGAGGTCGTAGGAAAGCAGCAGGAACTGCAGGAACAGCACCAGGCTGTAGTTGCTGGGCTGGAGCATCCTCCTTCCTGGGGCTTGGAGCACTCAGCCCCAGCATTCCCAACGGATCATGGCGCTGGGGGGGCTCAGCAGGGCCTCTCCCGACATCCCAAACCTGGAGGAGGAACACAGGGGTTGGGATGGATCCCAGAAACCAGGAAAACCCAGTGAGACGCCCTCTCTCTCCTCCGGTGTCTTCCTTTCCCCTGAAATCCACCCCAATCCCCGTGTGAGGAAATCCAGGGATGAGTGAGACGTGCAGTCCCAAGAAGCAGTGTCCAAGCAGGTTATTCCTGGCTGTTGCCAGCTCCATGGGCAGTTCTGAGCAGGTTTGGGCATGTCCCACTCTGGGCACAGGGAGAGAGGAGTGAGGAGAGACAGACGGGAATTTTTGGACACCGGAGCAGGTACAGCCCTCGTGGGACACACCACATATCTCACGGGAGCAGCCCCCTCAGGGATCATCCTGGCTGGAGAAGGACGGAGGGGACAGGGATCCTGGCAGGAAAAGGGCTGTGCTGGGGCTGAGTTCCCTGAGGGGGCGACATGGTGACAGACGGGGCAAAGGGGCTGGAAAAGGACGGAAAGCGGCTGGAAATACAGGGGAAGAAAGGCTGGACATGGGAGCGGGAAACTGACGGACATGAGAGGGGAAAGAGCTGGACACGGGGATGAAGAGATCCCTCTCTGCCCCTCCAGATCCCGCGTCACTCCGCCCCTTCTCACAGCCACCACCGCGGAGCCCCCGGGCCCCCTCTCGCCGCCCTCTCCCCCTGTCCCTGGCCGCCTCCCCGCTCCGGGGTCCGCCACCCTGATACGCCCAAGCCCCCCTGGGTGCCGGAGGTGCCGGTCCCGGGGGTCCCGCTGGGTCCCCGCCGTGCCCCCGCCCCGGGCGCTCACCCGCCGCCGCCATCTTGGTCCCCATGGAAACGGCCGCCAGAGCCGGAAGTGAAGGCGGAAGTGGAGGCTGGAGGACCCGCGGGGCCGCTCTGGCCACAGCTCCCCTTGGTGGCAGCACATTGGGGTGGGCGGGAAAACCATAGAGATGAGCAGGCAGAGCGACGCTCGCCAAGATGGCGGCGCCCAGTGACGAGGAGGGGGCGGTGGGGCCCAGGTACAGCCCCGGGGTTGGGAGAGCCGGTGGGCGGCTCCGGGGTTGGGAGGGGCCGAGGGACCTCGTGGTGTGGGTTTGGGGTGGTGTCCGGGCAGGGCGTTTTGTTCCAGGTCCGGGGGAGCCTCAGGTTTGGGAGGGTTGTGGAGTCACGTGTTCCCAGATTTCGGGGCGCCATGGCACCGAGTACCCCAGATTTGGGAGATCCGTGAGTCTCTGTGTCCCGGATTTTGGGGAACGATAAGGCCGCGTGTCTCCACCCGTTTCCTGTCTCTGTGTCCCGTGAGGCAGCTGATGCGAGGGTGTCGGGACATCCCCCGTCCCCGGAGGGGACAGAAATACCCATTTCTGGGGGCGCATGCAAATCACATGCAAATGAGAGCGATCGGGTTCCTGCCAGGGGGACCCTGACAGCTGACACCGAGAGCCCCTCGCTGCAATTCCCTGGAGTGCTGTGCCCGGGAATTCTGCTCTGCATTTCCTGTTCCATCCCTGGCCTCCTTCCCAGTGCAGGGCACAGCTGGACTCTGGTCACCCCCTCGGGGTTCCCAGTTCCCCTTTCCGTGGTTCCTCCTGGCAATGTCGGAGACCCCCAAAGGCGCCTCAGTCATCCCCAGGTGCCGCCATCCTGGATCCATCCCTGCCACCATTCCCAGGCCGGGAAGCAGCTGAGCCACCACCGGTGGCTGGGAAGCAGCTCCATCCCTGTCACCTTGCCCAGGCTGGGAAGCAGCTGCCCCCCCACGCCCTCTGGGGCTCCCAGTTCCCCTTTCCGTGGCTCCTCCCTGGGACCGCATCCGGAGCCTGAGCCGGCTCCTCGCTCGCCCGCAGGTGCCACCACCGCTCCATGGCCATGCTGGACGTGCCCTTCCTGCCCTTCTGTGCCTTCCTGGGAACGCTGGGATTGCTCTGCGTGGCCATGGTGGGCACCTGGTGCCAGCACTGGCGCGGGGGCTTTTCCCTGGACGGCAGCTCCCGGACGTTCAACTGGCACCCGGTGCTGATGGTGACGGGATTGGTGGTGCTCTACGGCGCAGGTGAGCAAAGGGAGCGCGGGCATCCCGGCACGGCTCCTTCCTGACGTTTTTTCCCCCTCACAGCTGCCCTGGTTTACCGTATTCCCAACACTTGGAGCGGCCCCAAGCTTCCCTGGAAGGTGCTGCACGGCAGCTTGGCTTTGGGAGCGTTCGTCCTGACCGTGCTGGGGCTGGCGGCCGTGTTCTGCTTCCATAATTCCCAAGGGACGCCCAACATGTACTCGCTGCATAGCTGGATGGGGCTGGCAACTGTCCTGCTCTTCTCCTGCCAGGTGGGAATCCCTGCTGCATCCCCCAATCCCTCCGGCATCCCGAGTTTTCCACACTCACCTTCTCTTCCCACAGTGGGCGGCGGGTTTTGGAGCGTTCCTGCTTCCCTGGGCTCCCACCTGGCTCCGGGCACTCTACAAGCCCATCCATGTTTTCTTCGGCTCCACCATCCTCATGCTGTCCGTGGCTTCCTGCGTGTCAGGAATCAACGAGAAGCTTTTCTTCAGCCTGTGAGAGTCAGGGGCGGGGGGGTGGGCTTGGGAAGATCTCACAGGGATAGGGGGGGCTCAGGATGTGGCTTTGGGCTGGGTTTGGGAGTGACCAAAGAGCAAAGGGAACTGAGCACTTCCTCAGGTGTGTGGCTCCCTGCACACTTCCCTGCAAGGTTTGGGGTGGGGTGGGGGGGGTGTTCAGGATGATCCTGATCATTCCCAGCCTCTCTTCTCCGCTCCAGGAAGAACGGGACCATGGAGTACAAGCTCCTGCCGGCTGAGGCCGTGTTTGCCAACACCCTGGGGCTCCTCATCCTCATTTTTGGAGTGCTGGTGGTGGCTGCCCTGGCCAGGCCCAGCTGGAAGCGCCCGGATTCCGACTCCCTGGACTCCCGCCAGGTACGGGATGCGCTGGGTGGATTTGGGAAGCTGCCCTCAGCACAGTCCCAAGGTGGGGAAGGACTGAGGGATCCCGACTCATCCCTGTGTCCCACAGCCCCTGCTCTCTGCTGAGCGCTGATCCCAGGGATCTCCCAGCACTCCCAAGCTGCATCCTTGTGCCTCCACGTGCCAGCTCCTGCCTGGATCCCGGGCCGTGCCAAACCCCAGCGCTTGCCGGTGCCATCCCTCAACGCCGCAGCTGGAGCTGCCGGAGCCTCGCTGGGACAAAGAGGAGCGTCCGGATCACTCCCGCTCCAGAGGATCCGGCTCAGGGTGGAGCCACTCAGGGACCTCATGGACATGGAATAAAATATTGGCTTTGCAGGGCTCCGGCACTCAAATCCCTGGGGACAAGGGAGGGCCTGGGAGCTGGGGTGGGAGAGGTGGGAGCTTGGGAGTAGGTCCTGGCCAAGCCAAGCTGTCCCTTCCAAGGGCTTGTCCTTGCTGGCTCCCTGGAGACATGGGACAGCTCCCCGTGGTCACCCCACGGGATTTGGGATCATGCTCTGCCCTGTCCCCACTTCTCCTTTGCCCCTTTCCCAGAATCGCCCCCAGACCCCGTGCCCAGAGCCATGTGAGCTCTGTGGTTTCCCCTCCACACCCTGGGTTTCCTTCCTCCCCCAGTCACAGGATCCCTGTTCCCATCTCCCTTCCCAGCCTGGAGCAAAGGGGGGCACCCCCACACCCCCAAATTCCACCATCCTCCCCCTCCAAGCTAGCATGGGGGACACAGAGGGTTACTGGGGGCCACATCCTAACCTTTATTGAGAAACATCCTTGAAGGAACACATGGGGTTTTTGGGATACACCTCCCTCTCACACGGGGAACACAAGGGCTTATTGGGATAACCGTTTCTATCACTACAAGGGGACAGGAATTTTTAGGGATACACATCCCTGTCATTACTGGGAGGTGCCCAGGGGGTCCCGCAGCCCTTCCAGCACCGCTCCCAGCACTGCTGCCACTGCCACAGCCCCGGCATCGGGCTGCTCCAGCCGGGATGAGCGGATGTAGCTGGCTCTGCCTGCCCCAGCCTCCATGTGCCTGGTGGCCTCCGCCGCCGCCTCCGCGCTCTGCCAGGGAAAACAGGGTGTTTTCCAGGATAATGGCAGGGATTCCCATCCAATTTCCCCACTATCTCAGCTCCCAGCTCTCCACACCTGGACAGCTGCTGCCAGCACTTGGAGCGGGTCAGCACCGGGACTGCGCAGGGAATGCAGAGCCTGTGCGGCTGCAAACAGCGAATCCAGCTGCAAAGAGTGGGAATTAGTCTGGGAGCCAGGGCTGAGGCCAGCTGGGAACTCCCTGGCATCCTCTTGGAAGCCTTCACGCCTCCTGGGCTCTCCCAGCACTCACCATTGTCCGGTCTCCTGGAGCAGCTCCTCCGTACCTGTGTGGGATGCAGGGAAATTCAGGGGGGACTGGGATTCCCAGGGGGCACTGGGATCCCACAGCCCCCGGCACTGACCTCTGCATGGCCTCAATCCCGGCGTCCATGGCGTCAGCCCACGCCGAGGAATCGCTGCGGCCACGCAGGCTCTGGCCAGCCGCCGTCAGGAAGAGCCCGTAGAGCTTTGGGAATATCATCAATCGTATCCTGGAAACACGGCCAGGTGTGTTCTCCCGTTCCCATTTCCATTCCCATTCCCACTCACCACTCCAGAGGAGCCTCCCATATGCTCCAGCACCACATCAGCCAGGGAGGAGAGCAGCTGGGCTGGAGCAGCCGGAGGTGGCCGGGAGCGCATCCATTCCCGGATGGCTGTGGGAATGGAAGGGATAACAGGATGGGGGGTGGTCCTGCAGTCCCCTGTCCCTCGTGGGGACAAGCAGGGACAGCCCTCAATTCCATAGAGAAGCTGCCACTGGATGCAGAGACATTCCAGGATACAAGAAGGGACACCCCAGGTTTCCTTAGTCCCAAGAAGGGATGTCCTGGGGAAGTTCCCGCTCCTGGGAGGTGCCATTGGGGTAGCATTCCCCACAATTCCCTGGATAACGACCCCCACACCCACCTTGGGCTGCCTGGGAGTGGGTGTGGCCGCAGTCCCCGTCACCTGCTCCCCGATCCAGCTCGTTGAGCTTTTCCTTCATATCCAGCAAGGTGCTGCACACCCGCTGCAGGACCCGCTCCACCCGTGCCGTGCTGAGCCCTGCGGAGAGGAGATGCATCCCTGCACATTCCCGAGGGAAACTAAGGCACAGAGCGGTGTGACAAGGGACGGGAGCCCTGTACCAATTCCAGTCTCATCCTGTGGCTTCCTGGGTGCCTCTGTGGGTGCTGGCACCTCCTCCCTCCGGGTGGTCGCCGGTCCCGCGAGAATGTTGGGCCACGCCACGGCCATGGTCTTGGTATCTGGAAAAGCCAGAGACATGTGGTGGCTCAGGATCTCATTGGATCCTCACTGGCACACCCAGCAGCCAGGAATTCCACCTCCAGACATCCCACTGACCTTGTGGCCCATCACCCAGTACGTGGAAACCCCTGTGTCCCAATCCCAGGCCACGTTCCCACTGGGAACTCACCGATCAACCTGAGCAGCTCCTCATCCACCAGCATGAGGGTGAGGGAGACTCCAGCCATCTCCATCGCTGTCATGAAGCATCCCACCAAGGCCCGGGCGATGCGGATCCCTCGGTTCTCTGCGGGATCCAGGATTGAGACAGGGTCATTCCAGAGCGGCCAGAGCCAAGGAATGGGATCCCAAGCTCCCCTCTGCACTCACCCAGGCAGCGCACAGCAGCTCCGGCCACAATTCCCAGCTCCAGGCAGGACAATCCACCCAGGTTGTTCACCACGAGCACCACAGAGGATCCTGCAGGAAGGGGGGCAGGATGAGACTGGGATCCAGGGTGTTTGGAGGAGCAAAGAGGGTCCTGGGGAGCTCACCAGGGGTCAGGGACAGGTGGGAAGCGCTGGATGGATCCGTCATGTGCTTCAGCATTGTCTCCACAGCCTTATCTGCCGGCAGCACCTGGAGGGGACACGAAGGAGGGGAAGAGCAGAGTGGGGAGGTCTGGGAATAGGGGGATCTGGGAATGGGGAAGAAGCAGCAGAATTTCCTCCACACCTTCATCCTGTGCACTCCAGCCTCGCCGTGGATCCCTACGGAGATGGGGCCGTGTCACATCCCAGCCCTGGTGATGCCTCCCCGGGGGGGCAGGGACACTCAGACCCTCCAGGGACCCAAGAGGGACACCAAGGGGCCGCTCCTCACCCAGCCCCAGCTCCATCTCGTCCTCAGCCAGCTGGAACGAGGGCTTGGATCCTGGGATGCTGCAGGGAGATAGGCTGAGACCCAGGGTACCTGTGCAGGTGGGAATGTTCTGTTAAAACTGGGGGCGTTTTTGGGATTCAGGGGCTGGGGGGTCACAGGACAGCATTTCCATGGGATAACACAACGCACCCGTGACTTTGGCAGCCGCCTTCGCCTTCTTCTCGATCTCATCCAAGCTCGCTCCCGCCTCGGCCAGAGCTCCCGCCACCTGTCCCGGGCAGAGCGGGTGAGCGACCCCCCAGAATTCCCCAAATCCCCATAAAGGGTCCCAGCAGAACCTTGTGGATGAGGATGGTGCCACAGATCCCGCGGCGCCCGGCTTTCCCTGGCTTGGTGAAGGCGCAGTCGTCGCCCACCACCACCATCCGTACGTCGGCCCCCTCGGCCCGCGCCCGCTCCAGGGCCATCCCGAAATTCAGCCGGTCCCCGGTGTAGTTCATCACAATCAGGAGGATCCCGGCTGCAGGACGGATGTAGAGACAACGGGAATGATGCAGCACTGGAGGGAGGAACCCCAAAATTCCAGCCCGGTGCGTTCCCAACCTGCTCCAGCCTGTGCCACGGCCCGGATGGCCGCCAGGATACTGCCCACGGACGGGGATGCGAACATGGCTCCGGCCACCACTCCGGTCAGCATTCCCTTCCCCACGTAGCCTGCGGAGAGGGAAGAGGGCTCGGAACCGTGTCCGTGGGTGGGGGGTACAGGTGGGACAGGGGGGTCTCACCTGCGTGGGCGGGCTCGTGGCCGGAGCCCCCCCCGGACAGCAGTGCCACACGGCCACGGATGGCCTGCAGGTCATCCCGAAGGACCACCCGGTGTCCCCGGAGCAGCCGGAGCCCGGAATTGCAGGCCACCAGCCCGGCCAGCGCGTCATCGGCGCAGCCGGACACCGTTGTCACCAGTTTTTTGGGGACCTGTGGGAAAAACGGGGAGCGGTGGGATGGGAAAAGGAGGAGTGCCAACCCCACAGGAATGCCAACCCCCCTGCTCCGGGCTCACCTCCATGGGAGCGGAGCGCCGCACTCGGATCCGAAGATGGAATCTTGTCTGGAAAGAGGGCAAGGTCCAGTCTGAAATGGACAGCGGTCCGGAGGGGGGCTGGGAAGGGGGCGGGATGGGATGGTGTCTGGTGTGATGGTGATGCTATGGGGAGTGTCCGGTGGGAACGGGGCTGGCGCTGGAGCTGTCCCCAAACAGGCACACCTCCGCAGGCAGGGAGCTCCTCCTGGGATTTGGCGCCAAGACGTGACCACTCCCTCCGCACCCAGCCAGGCCGCCCTGTTGGAATGAGGCGCCTGGATGGGATAACCTCCAAACAGGCCGCCTGTTTTGGGATGAGAGAGGACAGTGACGGCTCCCCCCTCCAAGAGGACCCCCTTTTGAGGTGAGACATCAGGATGGGACTACCCCCAAATAGGGACCCCCTTTTTTTTTTTGTGTTGGGGGCACTCCCACGTTCAGGGATCTCCTCTCAGTGTAGGCCCTTGACGGATCCACGCTCCCCCTTCACAGCGGGGACCCCTACCCCAAGCTTCGGGGGGCACGGAGCTGCAGGGAGGGGGCTGCACTCTCCCATGCGGGGCCCTTCCTTCGGGATACGGCGTGGGATCGGGGTGGGATCAGCGCGGGTCCCGCGGCTTCAGGGGGAGACCCCCGGCGCATCCCCCTCCACACCTGCGCTCGGCGGAGTCCTCCAACTGCCCTTATCGGCTGCTCCTCGCGCTCCTCCCAGCGGGCTAGAGCGGCTCCTCTCGTCTGCTCCTCGCGCTCCTCCCAGCGGGCTAGAGCGGCTCCTCTCGTCTGCTCCTCGCGGTCCTCCCGGCTGGCTAGAGCGGCTCCTCTCGTCTGCTCCTCCCAGGTCCTCCCAGCGGGCTAGAGCGGCCCAGCGCACCCACTTCCCGGAAGGGGCGGCGACGGCGGCAGAGAGGCCGCGCTCTCCGTTCCCCCCGGTTTCTCCCGCGCTCCCCCGGGACCTCCCGGTTCCCGCAGCATGTCCTACAACTACGTGGTGACGGCGCAGAAGCCGACGGCCGTCAATGGCTGCGTCACCGGTACGGCGGGGCACGGGGGGTGGCGGGAGCACCGTGTTTGGGGTGGCGTGCGAGGGCGGTTATGGGGTACCGGGGGCTGGGGGCACGGCGGGATGGAGGTGCTGGGGGTCCCGGGAGGGGGGTTTGGGGCACCGGGAAGGGATTGGGAGTAGGGGGAGGGTTTTGGGGTTCACGGGTGGGTTTTGGAGTACGAGGGGGTTTGGGAGTACCGGGGATTTTGGTTTACCGGAGGGTTTGGGAGTACCGGAGGGTTTTGGGATACTGGGGGATTTTGGGGTAGAGGAAAGATCAAAGTGCTCCTGAAATCGGTAATAGGAGTGAGAGAGAGTGGGATCTGGGGAAGCCACGGGAGCCCCAAGAGCCCTGGCAGTGCTGGCGTGGTGGGAAGAGACCCCAGGAAGGAGGATTCCTGAGGAAAGACAGCAGGAAGAGCATTTCTGCTGAAAAACAAGGAGTGCAGGCTGGGGGAAAGCAGTTCTGAGAGCATTTAGCACTGTGGAAGGAAACTGCTGGGATCTGGGGATGCTCCGGGGAGGCTGTGGAAGTGCAGCGGTGCCAGCTGATCCCTGCTCTGGGATTCCTTCCCTCTTTTCCCAGGACACTTCACCTCTGCCGAGGACCTGAACCTGCTGATTGCCAAAAACACCCGGCTGGAGATCTATGTCGTGACGGCCGAGGGGCTCCGGCCCGTCAAGGAAGTGGGAATGTACGGAAAAACCGCCGTCATGGAGCTCTTCCGCCCCAAGGTGGGTGCTGTGCCCACCCGGGCGGGCTGGGACGGGAATGGCCACCCCTGGAATTGGCACTGACCGTGGTTTTTCGGGCAGGGGGAGAGCAAGGATTTGCTGTTCATCCTGACGGCCAAGTACAACGCCTGCATCCTGGAATACAAGCAGAACGGGGATAGCATCGACATCATCACCCGTGCCCATGGGAACGTGCAGGTGAGGGGGGATGCAGCACCTGGGATGGGAATTCCCATCCCTAGGGATGGCTTTGCCTTCCTGGTGCAGCAGGGTGTTGGATTTCTGTTGCTCTCTTGGTGGTTCCTTGCCGGCTGCTGGATCTGGGATGGGTCACAGGATGTTTCCAGAGTTAGTCTTGGTCTCTGGAAAGATTTGTGGAATTCTGGGATGGTTTGGGTTGGGAAAGAGACCTTAAAGCTCATCCAGTTCCCTTCTGTGGGCAAAGACACCTTGTGGTATCCCAGGATGCTCCAAGCCCCATCCAGCCTGGCCTGGAACACTTCCAGGGATGGGGCAGCCACAGTTTCTCTGGGAGATCCATCCCAGGGCCTCAGCACCCTCATAGAGAAGGATTTCTTCCCAATATCTCATCTAAATCAGCACATGGAATCCTGGAATGGTATGGGATGGACAGTACAGGATTAGAGATCATCTCATTCCACCCCTTGCCATGGATGCCTTCCACTAGATCAGGATGCTCCAAGTTGTTTCCCTATGGATTCAACTATATTCTTGGGAGACCCTGTAGAATAACGAATTAAATTTAAGGAAAATTAAAGCCTAAACTCCTTTTGAGGCCAAATTTTCCCTGGGAAATGAGTCCTGTGGGAGTTTTTGGTGAAGCTGTGCGGTGTGGGAGCTCTGCCAAGTGGGGCACTTGGAAAGGTGTCTCCTCCCTAGGCTTCCCAGCTGGAATTCTCAAGCCTGTTGGGAAGTGTGCAAGGAGCCATTCCTCAGCTAAGGGCTGGCAACTAACTCCTGTCCCTGTTTTTCAGGGATATTGTCCTGGCACTAATCACCTTTTTCTTTGCCCTCTCTCTGGAATTCTCCCTCAGGATCGCATCGGGCGCCCCTCAGAGACCGGGATCATTGGGATCATCGATCCCGAGTGCCGGATGATCGGGCTGCGGCTCTATGACGGCCTCTTCAAGGTCATCCCCCTGGATCGGGATAACAAGGAATTAAAGGCCTTCAACATCCGCCTGGAAGAGCTCCAGGTCATCGATGTGAAATTCCTTTACGGCTGCCAAGCTCCCACCATCTGCTTCGTCTACCAGGTGCCTGCTTATCCGTGGATAACCCAGGTGGAGCCAAGGGCTCCCGAGGTTTTCCAAAGGCTTTTTGGAAGGCAGAATGGGGGATGATTCCAGCTCCTCCAAGTGCATGTTCCTCCATAATACCTTTTTCCAACTCTGTGAGGGAGGAAGCAGCGCTTTCCCACAGGATTCCTGGGCAGCTCTGCCTTGGGTGGGAATTTTCCTTGTTATACCCCCCAGAAGGAGTTTAGGGATTATTCCAGCAAGATCCACAACCTGTTTTTTCCCATAGCGAGACTTGAGCCTTTCCTTAAAAAACAAGGCAGTGACCTGCTTGCTATTCTTGGGAGGTGATTCCAGGTGTGTAAAGAGGATTCATAACCTCTCCCATCACCTGGTTCCTTATGGAGGGAGCATTCCAGGTTTTCTCTGGATGCCTATTTTGATCCAAAGAGCCTCTGCTGTTCTGACTGAGCAAAGGATTAGCTTTCCCTTGTTAAATTCCAGACTATCCCAAGCTTAGCTGAAATCCCATGCCAGCAGTGGCTCCATTATTGTTTGTTTGGGCACTGCTGGATCCCCCCATATTTCCTGAAGGGAGGAAACCATTTTGTCACTGCATACCTGGAGTTTGGGGGAAGAGTTGGAAAAGTGCTTTTCCAACTTCAAGGATTCCACAATCCGTGTCAAAACAACTTGAACCCTTGGAGCAGGAGCAGGATGTCAGTTCTGACTCATAAACCTCTGGATTGTTTTGATCCCTGCCTATGTAGATGAGAGTGTTTCCAAGTTGTTTCCTTGATTCTTTCTCCACTTATTACCCATTATCCCAGGATTTGGTCTGAATAGGACAGCAGGGGATGGGATGATTTTTGGGAAGTTCTGAAATTATAGGGAAATACGATAAAAACCCCTGAATTCCTGAAGGTTTGCAAGAGCTGGAGGAGAAGGTGATACTCCATTATGCCACTTGTTCCCAGGTTATCAGAGGAACACAAATTCCAGAATATTAGTTCCCATATAATTGTAATATATCATTGAAATATTACTGTAAAACAATGGAAAAATACTTTCCAGTCTTTTCCAGCACAGGGGGTAGTTATATGTGGAAAATTTTCGGAAAATGGTGTGGTTGTGGGGGAGGATGAGGAGGTGAGAAGCCTCAGAAGTTCTCTGGAATGGGTATTTTTGTAGGAGCTGAGTTGGAATCTCCTCACTTCTGGAATCTCATCCACTTTTGCTTCTCTTCCAGGACCCCCAGGGCCGCCACGTGAAGACATACGAGGTGTCCCTGCGGGAGAAGGAATTCAACAAAGGCCCTTGGAAGCAGGAAAATGTGGAGGCTGAAGCTTCCATGGTCATTGCAGGTTGGGCCTTGTTTGTAAAAGATCTTCCCATGTTTTTCCAGGCCGGATGGCTCCTTTTTCCCCGGCAGGTTGTCTCATGGTTGTTGTGTGCCCCGCAGTGCCGGAGCCCTTCGGAGGCGCCATTATCATCGGGCAGGAATCCATCACCTACCACAATGGGGATAAATATCTGGCTATTGCTCCTCCCATCATCAAGGTGAGGGGATCCAGGACTGCATCCCAAAAAATCCCTCCTTTCCCAGGCCTTCCAGCCAGGAATTCAAACCCCTGTTGTCCCAAGTGAGGTCTAACAGTGCCGCTTACTTGGACTTCCTGAGGTTTGGCTTCCTGGTCATTGTTTTTGGGGGCCGAGGGACATCCATGATCCCTGTGTGCCTCCTCTTTCTGTAGAGCTCTTGGAATTTTGTTTGGGCCCCAGGGAATGGGATTAATTAGGAATTAGTGCATGGTCTGGGCACAGTTCCAGGACAGAGCCTGGTTTCATTTCAGGCAGTGGAAAACATGGATGAGCCCCTTGGAGACTTATTCAGAGGAGAAAAGGCTTAAAGATTTCGGGACAGCAATTGGAGTTGTGGGTTTTGTGGGAATAACAGGCCACTTCCCATGTTTAATTAGAGGAGGAAGCACCAATGGCATGGCTGAAGTGCTGCTCCAAGCTGAAAGAAGGCTGGAACTGCCATCCAAAAGTCCTTTTAAGATGGAGATAAGGACAGGCTAAAAATCTTGGGGGAAGAAACAGGAATATTGGTGCCTGAAGGTTTCAGTCCACTCCTGGAGCTCTGGAATGGGTGGGATACTGGAGCTGGGAGCACATCACCCGCACAAAACTTTGGGGGAACCATTTTGGGGCTGTTTGAGGGTAATCCTGGAATTCCCTTCTTTCCCTGCAGCAAAGCACCATCGTGTGCCACAACCGCGTGGATCCCAACGGATCGCGGTATTTGCTGGGAGACATGGAAGGGAGGCTCTTCATGCTGCTCCTGGAGAAGGAGGAGCAGATGGACGGCACTGTCACCTTGAAGGATCTGCGTGTGGAGCTGCTGGGAGAGGTAGGAATCACCTGGGCCAGCCCTGGCACTTGCCTAGGATTCTCCCAAGTCTGGAAAGGCTTGTTTCAGGAATGAGTGGGAATTTTGGGAGCCTTATATTTGTCACAGCCCTGAACGGTTGGGAAAATATCCTGTGGGCACTTAAACTTACACCTCCTTCCCATTTTTTTTCCTGGTACTTGTACTGGGAGGAGTTTGGACTCTGGGATTTATGAAGGGATTAAATCCCTTTACCATGCCCAGGGTTTTTCTGTTGGATAACAGCTTAGTGGTGGAAGGTGTGTGTGTGTGTGTGCCAGGACCTTTCCATGCCACGGGTGGGTGACCTGGCTCTTCCCATTTCCCAGA